GTGATGGCGTCGGTGGTTTTAGAAAGAAAGGCAAGTGCAGATTAACAGATTCCTAGTAGCCGGATTCGATGCCTGTGCAAGAGTGAAAAACAGAAATGAAACACAGATACCTTCCCCTTTTTTATCTGATCACAATACCTAGAAGGGTTAGTATGACCTCTGTGACGGCATAGCTGTAACATTGCAGTCAAATGATCACTTGATATAGTGTAAATGATTTTCAGGAAGACTTTCTTGAGAGCTCACATGCTATACAGATCACACGGAGGACCACAATGCATTGTGCTCCAGGATGATGGACCAAAATGTAGCAAGTACTCCGCCTCTCAGCTTTGGAATTTGTTTGTCAAGCTGGCTTCTTAAAATTAACTTTTCGTTTTGGCCCATTTAGAGCAAAGTGACAAATCCCTGTTCTTGATGATGCTGACTATAGCCATGCCCCCCTCTATTTGTAAGAGCCCTATAGAAATACTTGGAGAGAAAAATTTGCAGAACCCTTTGTCCTGCGAAACTGCATTTACGTTCGTTCTGTGCGAAGGGGGGCAAAAATGGAAAGGTGGGCTATTTGGAGAAGCTTTTACTTTGCCCTAAATGGCCAGAGCCACAGTTCCCTTTTAGTAAGGCAAAAAAAAATGTTCAAATGTAAAGTCTCACTTTTTGGATCATGACACCTCCAACGGTCTCTTTGGCATTCGACAATTCCGGGAGTGTCAGATGCCTGTGTTCCCCATTGCGTGCCTTCCTCTGACTCCTATATCACGATAGCACTGACCAGCATCAAACCAGGGGCATATCCACCAAACGGCAGCACTTTCCAGGGGGGTAGCAAAAAACACCTCCACCAAATCAGTGAGGGCCGGCTGGACCGCACAGTATCAGGCAGCAGCAGCTGTTTAATCAGGCAAATTAGGCAGCCACAAGGCCCCAAGAGCGGCTGCCTAATTAGAGAGCTCCCAGGTGGAGGAGGGGAAGCCCAGTGAGATGCGGTGGTTGGCTTTGTACAGGAGGTGTAGGAGAAGCAGTGGGCGGCTCGGGGCTGGCCATAGCATGCGATCTGACAGCAGGATGTCCCAGAGGCAGGCTGGGGGGCTGCAGCGTGTCCTGGTGGTACTAGCAGTGACCAGCTTTAAAGCAGGGGCATATCCACCAAAGGATGGCACTTTCCAGGGGGTGGCAAAAAAACACCTCCATGAGGCAGGCTGGGGGGCGGCAGCGTGTCCTGCTGGTAATGATGCCACTTCAGGCTGCAGGCAAGAGGATCAGCACATGTAGTGAATGTACCCTGCACAGCCCACCATAGACCCCGCACAGCCCACCAGACCCTGCACAGCCCACCTGGAACCCCACATAGTCCATCATAGACCCTGCACAGCCCACCTGGGACCCCACAAAGGCCACCATAGACCTCGCACAGCGTGCACACTGTATCCAGCTTATGACAGGTTATGCAAAATGTAGACATACAGGTGAAACTCGAATAATTAGAATATCGTGCAAAGTTCATTTATTTCACTAATGCAACTTAAAAGGTGAAACTAATATATGAGATAGACTCATTACATGCAAAGCAAGATAGTTCAAGCCGTGATTTGTCATAATTGTGATGATTATGGCTTACAGCTCATGAAAACCCCAAGAACCCCAAATCCACAACCTCAAAAAAGTAGAATATTACATGCAATCAATAAAACAAGGATTGTACATAGAACAATATCGGACCTCTGAAAAGTACAAGCATGCATTTGTACTCAGTACTTGGTTTGGGCCCCTTTTGCAGCACTTACTGCAATTACTTTTGCACGCTATTCTAATTATTCGAGTTTCACCTGTATGTAGTGGCAATATATAAAAAATATTTTGTTACTTCCTTGGATGTGATTCTACATAAGGAGAACTACCCATGTGTGAATGTAGAGACTGAAGACGTACTTTGGAAGGGCAGAGCTGGGAATCATTAAGCTGGCCATACATTATCTGCAGACTTTCTATGGTCAGAGGGAAAAAGTGCAACAGATTCCTCCATCTACGCTAAACTATGTGGATGGAGGAATCTCCCACTGGGCCAAGCTTCAGTATCTTGCAAGTCGGCCCCACAGTTTAGCGTAGATAAGTGTTTCTCAACCTGTGTCAACTCAGGACCCACATTTGTCCTTGGTCATTAAGCTGCAGGGCCGGCCTTAGGGGTGTGCGAGCAGTGCGGCCGCACAGGGCGCCATGGCAACAAGGGCGCCATGCGGCCGACACAGCTCGTCCGAGGGGCGGCTTCTCTCCCCCTCACCGCTGGGCGCTGGCCATCCGATACGACAGCGCTCCCTCGTCCGCAGGAGGGAGCGCTGCCTGCTGTCAGGATGGCGGAGCGGTGAGGGGGAGAGAAGCCGCGCCCGCAGCTGTCAGGATGGCCGAGCGGGGAGGAGATCGGAGCCGCTGTCATCCTGTCAGTTTCAGGATGACAGCGTGCGTGGCTGAGCGGAGGATCGGTAAATATCATTGATCTTTGCTTCATCAGCTTCTTCAGGGGGGTCCTAGGTGACATTAGGGGTCTTGGAGACCCCTGATGTCTATATAAAGAGGACCTGTCACATATTTTGCTATCACATAAGGGGGTTTTCTAACCCCCCTATGTGATAGCAATAAAGTTTCCACCCCAAAAATGTAAAGTTACAAATAAAAAAGTCCCCCCCATACATACACGTATGCAAACAGGCGTCGGGTGCGCATACGTGTAAAAACGACGATTTCGCCCATTACGCCGCCCATGTTACATATCGCCGCGAACGTCGGAATGAGAGCAATAATTTTAGGGCCATCAATCACTGATAACACTAAACTGATGCGCGGTAAAAGCTTTTAAACCGTCACCTATGGTCAATTTTGGGCATGGTAATTTTTTGCGATTTCGCGGGTGCGCGCAATTTCTTACACAAGCATGTACACACTACTAAATAAATACATTTTTTTTAAAAATGTTTAAGATCCACCCAGTCTCCCTATCTTAGGAAAACTGGAGTGGATCGTCAGCCTGGGGTCCATTGTGGGATGCTGTGCTGTGACAGAGCTCCATCCATATGTGAATTGCTGGTACAGCTCCCTTGTATGCCCTGCAGAGTTTCCGGAGCCAGATTGTGATGGTCCATGCACCTTTACAGGACTTGTAATGAAGCTGTAAGCAATGCATGTATGGATGGAACTCCCTTGCAGCCATGGCCCCACCTCAAGGCACTCAGCACTGGGCAGCATATTTTGAGTGGCGGCTTGGCGTTAGAACTGACAGTGATGCGCTAGGGGGAGGCTGAGGAACCTCTCACCCAGAAAAGTGCAAGGCATGCGGTGACCCAGTGAACAAGGGGTCGCGACCCACTTTTGGGTCACGACCCACCAGTTGAGAACCAACGGTGTAGATGGAGGAATCTTTTGCACTTTTCCCATCTGACCATAGAAAGTCTGCAGATAATCCGGAGGTGTATGGCCAGCTTAAGCCGCTCGGGATTTGGTGTTCCCAGGACGCGGTATTGCTATTAAGAATTGATTGGAAATAAACATAAAACCTAATCTCAAATGCTAGGCAAGAAACATTTTGATTTTATTTTACTGCCATCAATAGAACTTAGTTCCAGAGTTGAAATGACATATAAAAAACACTACAACAGGAAGCAGTGGCAAAATAATCTTTCTTCTGAAAACAAATTATTAAGTAATCATAAACATTTATTAAATAAGAGGTATACGATGGTCTCAGTGTACAAAAACATTGTCAAAAAAATAGCATCAGGGTTAACGTGTTCCCTTTTTTTAAATTATGGGCTTTGTTCACACGCTGTCCGGACCAGATCTGGAGCAGCTCTACAAACGCAGTGCAGTGTGTTTTTGCCACAATTTTGTGCGTTTTCTTTTTAGCTTAAAATGGGCTTTCAGGTGCAATCTAGCACGTTTGCATGCATTTTTGATGCGTTTACATGCATTCTAGACCAGAGAAAATGAGACAAGCGGTATTTGTTTTGTCTGGTCTGGAACGGACTGCACTGGTGTGAACAGAGCCCAGAAACACCATACGGATACATTGGGATGCTTTTTTGGACTGTTCTGGTCTGGACATGATCCGGACATGGTGTGAACAAAGCCCTAGAACAGAAAATAAAGACAACAACCATTTTATGGAAAAAATTTTGCCATCATGAAGGAAGGAGTGGAAAATCAGCAAGCGGAACAAATCTCTCGCACATTAATCTATATCTTTGGCAGTGTTTTTGCAGCCTGTATACTCTGAACAAATCAGCACTGATAAATAAAAGGGACCTCTGGACAAAGGACAGCGCTCAGTGATACACACAGATGAAGAACTATTTACCCATTCAGTGCAGTGGTTGGTAGAAAAGTAATGCCCATTTTTGTTTGGCCTGTAACTGCTCTTGAAGTCTCTTACCAACAACCCCATATGTTTCTATGAACTGTGGCAGTGTCATTGTTAATGGATAAGTTTACTTTGTGGTACAGATTCAAAATGACATTCATTTTGAATTTAGTACCTTCTTCGTTGTTGTGTTGTTTTCCGTCCTGTTGACGAAACATCCTGCCATATGGACTGCAATCAGTGTAGAGTGCAGACAGCTGACAGCTGTAAACAAAACAAACTTTGTACTGATTTGGGCCTGAAATTACCGATTTTAGGCAACAGGCACTTGTATAAATTACTAGGTGTCTAGTGATGTATTATAAAAGCTAATACGTTTTAAAGGGCACTTATTTTTTTTAAGAACAAGGACTAATAATCTAAACTTTTTAAAATCCCTGCAGGCAATACAATTTAATCTTACATCTGGGACTCCTTTGTGTTGTTTAGTGCAAATCTACCCAGTTGCTGAGACTGATTATTAAATTTCAGTGCGGGTACAAATAGAGATATGATTGTATCAATAGATATTATATGGAGTGGAAGCTGCTGTCGTGTCTGAGGTTCTCTTTTTAATCCAATGTCAAACTTCAAAATGATGATCCTAATGACAGATATATTCAGTGTTGGAGCAGCAAAGGGAGAGTTCTGTATTTGAATTGGTCCGGTAGGTTTGGCAGGAACATTGCCCATGCAGCTGGACCCCTTGGGATCTTTGGCTTCACAATAGCATTCAAGTCAGTAAACTTTATTCTATTCCTGATGCGTCAGGCAGGGTAACTGTCTCCACTCATGTGGATCCGAGCTGTATACTGACGAGTGAGTGGTAGAATCCTTTTTGCTGCAGCAGCTGTTGATGTGTTCCCTGTTCTACGACCTTCCCGTTCTGGATGACGGCAATTTTGTCTGCGTTCTGAATGGTGGATAGACGGTGGGCGATTACTATACAGGTGCGACCCTCCCGAGCCTTATCCAGAGCTTCTTGCACCACCTGGATGGGAAAAGAGCACATACATTGTGAATTCAGCAGTGGACACATAGGGGGTTATTCACAAAGCTGCCTAAGGCAGCCGAGTGAACAACCCAGCCGAAGTGAAGTGAGCCGAACTACGTTCGGCTATTCACTCCAGCTCAGTATGGCTGATTTCAGCCGTACATCGGCTGCCTTCGGTCAGCTGAACATCCTCTGCATGTTCGGCTGAGCTGAAGTGCAAAGGGACTTCGACTCAGCCGATCCAACATCTGGATCGGCTGAGCCGAAGCTTTCGGCTGCTCACTCACTGCGGTTCGCCCCTATTCTCATACAGCAGTGAGTGAATAGCCGAATGCCGCCAAGCAGCATTCGGCGCGGCTATTCTGCTCGGTACTGAGCAGAATAGAAAAAAAGTTAAAAGGAGAAAAAAAAACAAAAAACATTGCCAGTTGTTATTGTTTAATGACAGATCAGCGTCCCCAGGACACTGATCTGTCATTACAACTGGGTGCAGCGAGCCGTGAGATCACGGCTGGCTCTGCACAGCTGTCATTTGCGGGGCAAACGTCTGGCCTTCGGCAGGTCGTTCGCCCCGCTTCGGCTGTCACTTCAGCTCAGTCAAGCCGAAGCATATGCCTTCAGCCGAGCCGCTCAACCGCCTTTGCCTGCTGTACAGGCTATTGTGAATAGCCTGTACAGCAGCCCTTCCTTTCAACTGAACCGAAGGGCTCAGGCGGCCGAAGAGAGGCGAAAGATCAGCCGAAGCTACGGCTGTATCCTTCAGCTCAATGGTGAATAACCCCCATAGACCCATGTGGATAAGCAGGTTTTAAAAGGAACTTGTCATGGAAGCCGAAACATTAAAAACACACGTGAGGGACACAGCTTAATGGTAATAAGCAATGTAGGGTTATACTATCGTCAACAGGAGAAATGGACACTAGGCACATAAAAACTGAAGGCCTGCCCTGTTAAGGTTATACTCAGTCCCACCATACACCTTGCCAGTTGTAGCAAGCAATCCAATGAGGAATGACAGCAAAGATACCAGGAGGGAGCTTTGTCCGTCAAAGGACTCCAAGAAAAGGATTTTATAATGAATACAAAAATCTTATTTGCTCTATCGGCCATTGGGGAAGCAACTTGATGGTATTAACCAGAGTACGGATGTCCAAAAGCAGTCCAAACAGAGGGGAGAACATACCTAATGATACAGGCGAAGCAGCCCATAAGTAAAACCCAAAACAAGGGAAAAGAAAAACAAGGGCAGGGCTTCTTGCAGAACTTCAAATACTGGGATCTGCCAAGGCAGATACATCAATCTTGTAAAATTTAGAACACATGAACAGAAGACCAGATCACAGCCCTACAGAGCAGAGTAAAGAAGCCTAATGAGAAAAAGCCTAAGAGGTACTCACTGCTCTAGTGGAGTGGGCTTCAACATGAAAACAAAGCACTTTATCATACAACTAGACCTGCACAACAGCCTGTCAAATCCACTTATAAACAGTAGATGTGGAGGCCGGAAAACCTCTCTTAGGACCTTCTAGAATAAGAAACAGGGAATTCCTCTATCTAAAAGAAGCAGAAGCTTTGTGGTAAACTCCGATAGCCCTAATGACATCCAGACAATGAAGTGATATCTCCTTGAGATGAACAGGAATCATACACAACAAAGGTAACACAATATCTATATTAAAGATTAAGACAGACGACCTCAAGCAAAAAGGAGGATTTCAGTCTCAACACAACCTTGTCTTTGTGTAAGATCAAACTGGGATCTTTACAGGATAATGCTGACAACTCAGAGACCCATCGGGCTAAAGTGATGGCCACAAAGAATGCTACCTTACAGCTTCAAAGAAATGTCCCAAAAAGCTTCAAATGGGGATCTTGTAACACAATAAGACTAGGTTTAAATTCCATGGTTGTAGTAGGGGCCGAACAGGGGGAGCAATGTGTGCAACTCCCTGAATCAGAGTACAAATTAGTGAATTAGTGGGAAGAGGATGTTGAAAAAGAACAGACAAGGAGGACACTTGACCCCTGATGGTGCTAAGGGGTAAAATGTTGTTCTACCTCCAACTCAAGGAACAACCAAGGACACTAAGTATCTGGTAAGGTGTGAACTGTGAGGGTTATAGCCCTAAAAAGGCAGGCTTTCAGTTTTTTGTTTGTTTCTTTCTCCTGTAGCCAACAATAGAACCCTATGTTGCTTAATACAATGAAGCTGTGCCTCTCAATGGACAATAGAGACAAATGCACTGCACCAAAATGGAAAAAAAAGGGCCCTTAAAGTTGCAGATACCTGGCTTGCCATCCTCATCCTCCACTTAGCTAGTCAATACATACTAAGTATGTATTCAGTAAAGTTGGAACTCCCAACCTCCATAATTGTTCTAAATCTCTTGGTAGTGAAACATGAAGCTTTAACAAACCGGCAATGTTGGTTTTAGTTTTTATTTTGGGTTGGCAAGTAAGTGCAAGATGCGGCTAGACATAGTTTAAATGATAACTGTATTAAAACACAGTTCATCTTTTAATCTGCACTTTTAGCTCATCATGAAATATAATTGTGGCTATGGTTTCCTGGCTTTTTTTCATACTGCATTTTGGAAAAGCCAAGAACGTAAGCATAGATTCTAAAGTTAAAATAGATCAGTAAAGCACATAGCTCTACAGATAATATTGACCAATAATTTTCCAGACCAGCCAGGAGTACCACACAGATCTACTTTACCTTTTCACTCTCAGTGTCCAGAGCAGACGTGGCCTCGTCCAGCAACAGGATTTTGGGTCTCCTGATAAGGGCTCGTGCTATTGCGATCCTCTGCTTCTGACCTCCAGACAGCTGTGTGCCCTTGTCTCCAACCCGAGTCATGTATTTCTGTAAAAGAGGCAGCACGCCATTAGAGATGTAGACTGTATTTCTGCGTATAACGATCACAACACATGTGTAAATGGGAACATTTATGCCGGTTCGTAAAAATTGCTATTTTTCAAATAAACATTTATTATAGGGTGAATCCCAGATGTTCTTATTGAAAATCATGCTGGGCTTTTATAATAAGAAAGTCCAGCACTAACATTATACCCAGAGTTAACCTTTGAATGCAGCTTTACCTGCTACTTGTATTCATACCCATTATTTCATGTTTACTGAAGTGAACATAAATATAATACATATATTAAAAACAACACAGAATCCCTTTAAAGGTATAGAATGTTATGTAATATTGTGTTCATCACGATCAGATATACCCCTGGTATGATAAGACACTGCAGACGCAGAGCCAGCCCACCATTAGAGTTGTAGACTGAACTTCTGCACATTATACAATAACACACATGTGTTAACAGGTACAGCTTTGTTGGTTCGTTTAAAATATATATATATTTTTTCAAATGAACATTTATTATAGGGTAAATCTATGACAATGCTTGAAAATCATGCTGGGCTTTCTAATAAGAAATATAAAATAAATGTTCAGCGCTAGGGGCCCAGTGGGCAGCTAATTAGATGGATCTATTCTAAAGGTGATTGGTTAATAAATAAAAGCATCTAAAGGAGACACTGGAATATCGGGGTCTATCAGTGAGCTTTCTGGATATCAATTAACAGCCATCTTACCGTGGTGAGTGCGCACTCTTGAGGGGGTGACTACGTGGCACAAACACAATCTCTGGAGAGATCATCAAGCACTTTTGGGACTTGATATTATTTCACACTTTGGTTATGTATTAAATAGTTTCACTTATGGATTATGGACTGATCACTTTGGATATGATATAAATAAATGGAATTATAAAGTTTATGTTCAACGGCATGTATATTTATAAGACAATTAATTCACTTTCTATTTAGATGTGTATGATTATACCAAATTTTTGCACATGAAATCTATATTTTTGCACAAGTATATTTTGCAAGTAATGTACCATTTTGCAATTTTTGCACATTTTTTGATATAGTGACAATTAGGTTTTAATTTAATTTATTTTATGTATTACTAATTTATTTCATACAATATTGGCTGTTATTTATTAACCAATCACCTTTAGAATAGATTCATCTAATTAACTGCCCACTGGGCAGTTTATTTTATATTTATAACTGGCCCACTAATTAACTGCCCACTGGACATTTATTTTATATTTATAACTGGACCAGGCTGTCTATAGTGCAGCAGCTTCCGATCAATAGTCTGTTGAGGAATATTCCAAAGCGCAGAATTTTTAACAACCTTTCTAATAAGAAAGCCAAGCACTAATGTTATGCTTATGAGAGGGGGGTTTCCCCCTCTCACTCATTCAAGTCTATCTTTTACAACAGCAGCATCTGAAAAGAGGAGAACTCGCAGAGGAAATAATTATCCATAGAGCCCCCCCTTCTGCCTGTATTCATTTACAATATTTATATTTACCTGAATAAAAAGGAACTGGATATAATAAATCAAATAAAAATCCTTTTAAGATCTACAATGCTTTGTAACATTGTGTTCACTACTATCAGGCATAACATACAACAAAATACAGATACAATAGGACACTATGCAGTTATAGACTTACATCAGTTAGGGTCTCGATGAAACTCTGGATATTGGCCTCCTTGGCTGCTTGCTCAATCTCTTCTTGACTCACTGTTCGGCTGTTGTCTCCATACGCAATGTTCTCTGCTATGCTGCGGTCAAACAAAATGGGCTCTTGGGATACGATGCCCATCTGTGCCCGTAACCACTGGATGTTCATACCCTTCACATCAGAACCATCTATGCACTGCAAGAGATACATAATAATAGCTGTCACACACTGGATCACGGCTTTACAAAGTAGGGCATCACTCAGATCTCATACATTTCATGCTGCTCAACTGTTCCTGTCACATATCAGGACTGAGAAGACCTTTTATCTCCACATCGTAAATCCTTATTGATGAATAATGCTTTGTAAATGCTGTAGTTTGATTACAGAAGAGGTGCCTAACTGACTTTACTCTATGCCCTGATTATGAATATTTCATTTTCCAGGGATTTTATTGGTCAGTTTTTCATTGATATGGAGCCAAATGATCTGGATTCAAATGGAATCCAAAAATATGTCTCAGAATAATGGAGCCTTAAAAACTGCTTATCATTCTGTATTTGCCATCCCAAGCAGTCACATAAGAAGAGGTGACTCTTCCTCTTGGGTCAAGTAAGCCTCACCTTCCGTTTTTTCTTTTTTTTATCAGTTCAATTTCTCTTTTGCTAAAGATGTGTCAATGTACACAAAATGAAGCTATAATGAACAAGGGCACAGTGTAACCAATACAATACAGATATGGCAAATAGAAACATTAAATAACAGCATGAAATGATATTACAAGTCTTGGGAAAAGGTCAGTAAAAGAGTTTCAAATGAAGTGTATGTCCAAGTACTAACAAAGTAGGGAGGCTGGGTGCAAGGAAACATTGTCCTTGCATCTTTAGAGCAAGATGGCTTGCAGAGTGATATTTAGGGTAAAAGACTTGTAATGAGGGAGCCACGGGTTCACAGTTTGTAGAAAACTAGGAATGTTTACCCCAGGTTCACTTTAACTATTGGATAGGTAGTTTGGCTAATAAGTAATGAGCATCAATTTTAAATTATCCAGCATGATCTGTAAAGTCTCTCACACCTCACATGCTTAATGGTATCTATTCTATAATACAGGGCTCAAAATTTCCACTCGCCCCCTCGCAAATTGCAAGTGAAAATTGCGTGGGGGCGAGTGGAAATGAAGCCATTGAGTCAGGCACTCCTCGGGGCGGCTTCCCTCCTCCTCACCGACATGATGACAGCGCTCCCTCGTCCGTCCGTCCGGTGTCGCAGGAGGGAGCGCTGCCTGCTGTCAGGATGGCCGAGCGGGAGAGAAGCCACGAGGAGAGAAGCCGCCCTGAGGAGGAGAGAAGCCACGCTCGCAGCTGTCAGGATAGCCGAGCGGCGAGGAGATCGGAGCCGCTGTCATCCTGTAAGTTTCAGGATGACAGCGGCTCTGTGCGAGTCAGAGCGGGGGATGGGTAAATATCATTGATATTTATCGATCCTCCGTGTGAGAAGGACAAACACTGGAGCGATCGTCTGATCACTCCAGTGTTTGTAAATAACTGGGGACACATAGTGCTATGTGTCCCCAGTTATGAATGAACAGGCGGTGATTTACATTACAGCCTGTTCATTCTGGATTTCCTCAATGGGGAGTAGCACTCAGTACAGAGGCTCCTCCCCATTCAGAAACTATTGATAGTAAATATTTTACTATCAGTGTCTGAATGAATGGGAAGCCTCTGTACTGAGTGCCTCCCATTCATTGAGTGCTGAGGCTGTAGAAAATAGAAATTGAGGATTTGGTGTCCTCAATTTCTTTTCTATTTTAAAAGGGAAATGTCAGCGGTCTGTTTGGACCCCTAATATTTCCCCGAAGCCCCCCCCCCAACTGTAAATAAATAAATAATACAATAAAAATAAAATACAAAAAATGTATTTCAGATGAAATGTGTATGTGTAATGCTCTGTGCGTTGTGCTGTGGCTGTATGTGTAATGCCCTGTGCGTTGTGCTGTGGCTGTATGTGTGTTGTGCTGTGTGCGCGTTGTGCCCTGTGTGTGTTTGTTTGTGTTATGAAGGGCAACTGGTGGCGAGTAACTTCGAAGGCCTGGCTAGTAGCTCAGGACCTGAAATTTTGAGCCCTGCTATAATAGATATATTTACCACGTCTCCGCCAAGGGGGTCGTAGAATCTCTCCAAGAGTTGGACGGTGGTACTCTTCCCACAGCCGCTGCTGCCCACTAGTGCCAGGGTTTGCCCTTTAGACACAGTGACGTCCAGTCCTTGAAGCACAGGCACGTCTGGTCGTGTTGGATAGTTGAACTGGACACCCCGGAATGAGACATTTCCCTGACACTCTGTCTGTAGCCAATGAAAGCATATATTCATATCAGTAAACTACTATAATTGGTGACATATGAACAAATTGTGTATATAACATGAAGCAGGCAATTACATACAAATTCTAAGAGTGATATTCCTATCTACGTTATAACACTACTGGTCTTTATCACTATCTGAATTCCACACCAATGACATTTTATTACTAGAGTTTCCTACCTTTTTTATAGTTCCCTAATCCTTATAATGATGAGGGAAAAGGGTAAGATCCCTTCAACCCTCCTGCAGATCTCCTGCACTAAGGCAGGAGCAAACTCCGGGCCACCGTGGCATTTGCTAATAACAGTGTCAAAAGCAGGTCTGAAAAGACGATGTCCCTCAAAGGGTAAGTGAACTAGATATTCCCTTGACGGCTTATCAGCATCCCATACATTTTGCTAGAATGCCCTACGCATTTGTAGAGACATCAGTCTTGTGCTTGTTTTGAGGCCTGAAACAAGCTATCATAACTAAAGCACAAGTCAGTAGACATTTTCTCCAGTCACACTGTAAAAAAGGGTCCCCTTCAGAGGAGGGATTGAAGTTACTGCTAACACAGGACAGAAGGCCAAACCAGTTAATTCAAAGGAGGAAATGTATCTATTGGTGAAGTCTCCATCAACATTTTTATTGGTATTTCCATTCATATGGATTGCATCCACAGTGGGCAAACCACGAGTTAACATTTTTTTTTCCAAAAGGGAAAGTGCTCACACTTTCAGGTGGGGCCCACGATCCTTCAGGGAGTTTACAGTCTGCATAGAAGAATGACTCAGGGCTACAGGGTTAAGAAGAAAGGACTTTGCAGATGTAGGAGCACTAAAAGACCAAAGGCCTGGAACAGCAAGTTGATCCTCCAGATGCAATCTGATGTGCACTGCATCAATAAGGTGTGAACTGTGTTGACCAAAAAACAGCCTCTATCAAAAAATACTGCTGGGATTCTGCATTGGATTAATAGGCTCAAGCGGGTTAGAGATAGACATAGCCAGAGATGCAGCTGGAGCACGCTCAGAGCTTCTGTGGGACATGGGGGGGGCCTTGGCATCACCCAGCAGAGCTGCAGAAGACTTTGATGACCACCACGCTATAACAATAAGGTTACCAGGTTCGGAGGTACAAGTGTCAGTTCCTTCTGGCGATAATGGTTAAACACCCCCAGAACCACCAGGGGAGTATGCGCTGATTTCACCTGTGACAGCTAGAAAGTCCTCAATGTGTCTTTGAAAAGACATGATGTGCCACATAGCAGTGAGCAACTATATCCAATGGGAAGCAAGGATTCAAGTACTCACAAACCGGGGAAGCTGGTGCTGAAGAGGGTTTCAGGTGACCAAATGTAACCAGGTTACTGTAGGTATGCAGTAGAATGAGACCAGAGATCCATGTGGTGCTTCTGGAGGGTATTCTAGCAATCTACTATACTAGTAAACAACTAAGGTATACTGGGAAGAGGATACGTTCAAGGTGGGGTGGCTTACAAATTTTTTGTTTGCTAGTGTTCCAACCAAGCTTTAAGCAGCAGTATAACACAACTATTTTGGGATCCCTGTGTCCCTCAATAGATAACGTGGAAACATATACTGCTATTACACATTACTCATTGATTCTTGGTTTCTTGGCATTCTACAAGCTTCCGATCAAGGATATAAATCACTATGGCTATCATGTATAATACAACAAGAAAAATTAACTGTTAACTAAAAAAATATGACATACAAGACTTTCCCCAGCAGTGCTATAGCTATCTATGAGTGGTTGTTTTTCCAGCAGGTTGAATATATGAGCCGCTGATATCTTGGCCTTGGCGTAGTCTGGAGCAAAGGAGCTGGTCTGTCCTAAAGCCATGGCTCCGAACACAATGGCCGAGAATACCCTGCGGAGAAGGAAACATTTTCTTCAGAAGATCTGTGAAAAACGCAGCACAGCACAGCACACATATGTGAAAAGAACCAAGGAAAGCGACACAAATAATTGAACCAGTTATACACAACTGAACATAATATTGTTTTCAGCCAACACAAGCAGAGGATGAACGGCACCACATGAAATTAACGTTTTAGGCTCAGACCTTTATCTACAGCATGTTGGATGTGGGGTGTATGTGAAGTGAGGGGTATCCTGAGTCATGACCTAGGGCAAGTACTGTATGTGGTTCAGGAAAGTCAGAGAAAAGTTCTTATTGTCATACTAGGTCAGTGGCTTAACTATAAAAGTAAGACATGACAACCAGACAGTAATCAATTTACGAAGGAGAAGCTAAAAGTAATAACCTCTTGTGAAGCTGATCACCGGTCTATATAAAAAATAATAATTAAAAAAACTATTCTTCCCCCTTTAACGAAGGTTTATACGTAAAAGTCCCATTTACCTGAATCTGCCGTCATGGGACAAGCTAGGCTGTGTCTCAGGTCATCTATCTTCCGCTCTGTAGTGTTGGAGAGTCCTTCTTGCAGTGCCCATGTTGCCCCCTGGGAAGCTGGGCACTGCCCACTAGTGACAATTAGCTGAGTTCTCAAGACTTCCAGCGTTGGCATTATGAGGTCACGACACAAGGGTCAGCAACAACAAAGGTCAATATGCCCAGACTGCAGCAGTATAACGTTGGTCTACACTACCAGAAGAGACGCCTTGGAGGCCCATTTGGTGGCAGACTGGTAAGTATACCGTTTTTTTAAATAACAGGGAAGCTTACATTTTGTTCTTGATGTATGTATTGACCCAATGGTGTCAACCATGTTTTAATGTATCTTTTCTGTGTATAGTCTAGGGGTGTGGGGAAAGGGGGTATTTGTAGGGGTTTGTTTTTGTACCAGAAAACTATGTAAACCTTTCAATAAAAAATGCTTGATATAAATAAATAAATAGGGGGAGTTGATTGGGGTCGATTTGGGAGGGAGGCTTTGTTTTACCCATAATTGGGCCTTAAAAGAAGAGCAGATGAGTTTTGGTTGATTGTGAGTTGCTGCATTATTGGATAAGCATGTAACTGTTTCATAAATAAGCCATGGGAAGCTGACATCACTGGCAAGCTGAATGTATCAGCCGGAGTACTTTATAGAGAAACTTCAGTTTTGATCAGAAAAAAAACCCCATAGGCCCTTAAGGCCTCGGAGAGCTTTCTAGGAAGACGATGACAGAGCAAAGCTTGCCAACCACGGCTCAAAATCAACAAGTCCTACAGGGCATTTTCCTCAATGGCGACTCATCTACTTAACCTAAGTAGCAGAGGACACATCTCCAGAGAGTTTTGATAGCAAACAGATTCCGGTTCAGTGATAGCTTTCAAGTATTACTAAATATTAATTAGGAGAAAAATGCTTCATAGAAATGATTGAGAAATACTTACAGGAATACATTGTCCATTGTCATGTGATTATTTGCCACAAGCCATGCACCAAAGCGGAAGCACCCAGCATAAGCGAAGAACATGATGGCCTGAGAGAGCCCAAATGTCACTCCGTGAATGTGAGCCTTTTTAATAGAATTCCTGGAAAAAGATGAAGTATTAATAATTTTTATAGAGTGGATACATTTTTCTAACAGTAAAATTCTTCAGAAAATATACAGTAAAACCGGCTTGGGCACCCTGTGTCTCTCCAAGTGGAAATACGAGTCTAAGCAGGGCCTGACAACCTTAAAACCATGGGCTTAGCCCCCCAATTGTCTTCCTTCCAACACAGTGAAGTGTATTCCTTTATCTATTTTATCTATACTTACCGTTTTAGGTGTCTTCAGCCTGGTCATGTGATGCGCTGGGTCTTTTTTCTCTTTGACACTTTTCCAGTATGTGGCACTCCTCTGCTTCAATACACTATGAATGAAGGGGGCAGGGCCATGACCCACATTCATTCATAGTACGTCCTCAGTCTTCTGGACATCATTCAACCCAGAAGAATGACGGCATCTTGAGGCAGAATAGAAGTATTGCAGTAAGGTCAGTATTGCCTGAGCTGCTTTGTTTTGGCCTGGGAGACCATATTAAAAAAAGAAAATTGCTTGGAGTTGGGCTTTACAGTGGAGTAGAAGCCAAAACATATTTCTGGACGTTATGAGGTTGGGTCATATGGCAGATTTTTTTTGGGAAGATTTTGGTTGATATCCAGTCCTGGTGACAACACCGAAAGTGCAATCAGGGGTTGGAGGGGACAAGGGGGCATTCATGCCAATTGGACTGCAGGCATGAATGCCCTCCATTCCGGTCCAGTGTGATCTGAAAAAAATGCTGCAAGTACAAATGTTTCAGATCACACTGGACTGGAACGGAGGGCATTCCTGAACCTTGCATTCCGGTGCACGAGTGGGGTGTGTGTGTGTGTCTGCGGGGCAATTGACCACCACGCCCCCTCCCCTGAACGCAGGAAGCCAGCCGGGATGCGCTCCAGTGCATTCCAGCAGCGAATCGTACTGGACCGCACCAGAGCTGGTGTGATCCGGCCCTAAGGGCTAAGTTCCCCTTTCTTTTTTACTTTTTTTAAAACCTTTTCTGACTCTGTTTCCTATTATACCCATATTTAGGGTGTAATATGAAACATTGTCACATCCCCAACCTACGCACCCCAAATGTTATGCAGCCATCACTGGAGTGCATGTAAACAGAAAGTGGCTGCAAAGAGGCTCAGCTGCAACAAGTGATAATAAAAATTGAACAACTATTTTATGAAAAACATTGCAATTGTTTTGGATACATGGGGGGATTTATCATAACTGGAGCAGACAGGATCTGGAGCAATTGCCCATAGTAACCAATCAGCTTCTCTCTTTAGTTTGCCTAGTTAAGATTTGAAAATAAAGAGAGAAGCTGATTGGTTGCCATGTACAGCTGCTCCGGATTTTGTCTGCCCCAGTTTTGTCAAATTCCTCTCATAGTGCTTTAGCAAACAATACGTCACTCAGTTAGGGTTTATAACTACTTTAAAGTGTATTTCCACTTTTGCAGCTTAATTGGGATAACACCTATTTTATTCCTGTTACATGTTCCCATTCACATTGCATAATTGCACATTGCAAAAAATCAAAAGAATGCTTCTTGCAGTTTAAATTGCTTTTTACTTGCTAACATTTCTAGTTGGCTTCTCCTTTGTAATGTTAGGTGGGGCTGTGAGGGGTTTGTGTTAGCCCTCTCTGCACTGTGCTGGCTCATTTCATTTTGAACACTGCCTGTCCTAACAAAGGGTTAAAGTATTACAACACTGGCTTCTACATGGTATGTTAATGAAAGAAACACATTCCACACGGTCCTAGCCTCAGTCTTTCTATAAGGACAGGTCCTTGTGAAAGTGCTCGGAAAAACGTGGGTTCAGCCATCTTGCCTGCTGCAACAAAACATCTAAAAAGGTACGAAATATTTTTTTCTATTATTATTTTTCGGTATGCTATGCTCAAGTTCGACTGTAAAAATTGAAATACATTTTAAGTGATTTTTTTTTTTTTAATTAAGGTAAAGAGAAGTATAGTGCAGTAATCCAGACCAATCAGAATCCATCTTTCTCTGATCTGATACTGTAAATAGAAAGTTGATTGTTTGCTATTGCGTGTATAGGTTATAGTGTATAGTTTCTTACTTGTAGGGCCCCACCAGTTTCTCATCATACAAGTTCTCAAAGGTCCTTTCCCGTGTGAGAGACACAACAGTACGGATGTTTTCTACAGCATCAGTGGCAATCTAGGAAGAAGGGAAAGAAAATTATATACAGTATATACATTATGTATATATATATATATATATATAGATATAATGAAAAATGTTTTGACCATTTTGAAAAAAAAATGTTTTCCCTACGTTATGTTAAAAAACTTTTATTCTTACCCATATATTTTTGGTAAAATATAAAAGAGGGGGTCATGTCGGGTAAATAGACACCAAACATGTCACCAAGCCTTAAAATTACACACTTGCAAAATCGCAAAAAAAACTACCACACCGAAAATTTCCCATAGGCGATGCTTTAAACGCTTTCACTACTCATCAGTTTAGTGTTGTCAGTGATTAACGGCCGTAAAATTATTGCTCGCACTCCGATGTTCGCAGCCAAATGTAACGTGTGCGGCACAGTAGGCGCAATTGTCGTTTTCGCATGTAAGCGCACCCATCGCATGTTTGCGTGTGTATGTGGGGGGCGGGGGACTTAAAAAAAGAAATTGTGGGTTTTTTTTATGCTTCTTTAATTTTTGTATTACTCTTTTTTAATTTATTTTTTACACTTTACTTTATTGCTATCACATGAGGGGCTAAGAAGCCCGCTATGTGATAGCCAGTTTACATGACGGGTCCTCCTTATGGAGACATCAGGGGTCTCCAAGACCTCTAATGTCACCTAGGGACCCCAAGAGAAGCTGATGAAGCAGTGAAAAAAGGGGCAAACTGAGCAGGACCTGAGAACCAGAGATCTCTACACATGAGTGCAGAAGTGAGACTAGCAGGGTTATTCACTAAAGGGTGAAGAGTTTGGAGAAGGAAGAAAAATGGAACAATCTAGGCCAAAATAGACGATTTGTGAAAATTCTCCAATTCTGCTCACTTTCCAGGTCAGCTATGTTGTCCTAGATTGTTCACTTCTCCTGCCTTCTCCAAACCCTTCACCCATTTGTGAATAACCCTGTAAGGCGTGACACTATAAAAACATTAATTTTGTATCAATTAAAATATTTTTATATACAAATAGTAAACATATGAATCTGCCTTGATATTGTTTTCCCTGTAAAGGAGTCGATTAGGGTTCTGTTCCTTTGCACAGTTGTATGCAAAGATACTCATAGACTTTGGATGAAAGTGTTCCAGGTAAGTCAAATTGGACAACAATCTTATGTATATGAGGCTCATAAGAACCGGCCAGTTGAAAATAATGTGAGTGATAGGAGTAGATGTAGAGAGCTTTCTGAGTTACATAACTGGTTGGGCAGAATTGCCAATCCATTGGCAGGTAAAACAGTTCACATATCGATTATTATACAGTATAGTTACATTTTGTATTTATTTGTTTGCCTGGCCCTGGAATTCAAGAGATCCCTACTATCTTGTATAAATATATGACAGTTGTACTCTTTTCTCTATAAGTTGTATCCACAATCACCATAATCAGTGGCCTTTCAAAACCAGAGTCTACTCACTTTTCCAGCGACTTCCAGCTCCTCTTTGTCCTTCTTCGCATGACCGGCAAATGTTTTCATCTCGATGAGAGCAGAGACGGCGATAACTGGCACAATGGTCAAGATAAGAAGCGTTAACTGCCACCCATAAACAAAAGATATTACAGTGGCGGTGCCCAGATTTGCAATGTTCTGAGCTAGCAATGCCAGTCTGGCTCCGGTAGCCTGGAATAGATGGACAGATTGAGTTAGATCTTCTCCAGTCTGGGTTACATTGGAACTCCAGTAATACATTGCAAAGATTTTCAGCAAACTTTACAAATGATATTCATCTGCTACTGTTCTGTAGATACTGAGACAACTCATGCACCTGCTAAGATCTTAGGTTTGTGAATAAAGATATAGCTGACTTGCATTTGAGTTTCTTTATAGGATGAGTTGATTTTGCATTCACAATGTCTTATATGAGGAAGAATGAAAAATGAAAAAAAAAAACGGCTCTGCACACGATTGCCAGAATAACCCACCCCATGGACTTGAGAAGCGTCTGTAGCCAATCTTGTGGTTAAGGCACCGGTGCTGTTCTTTTTGTCATCAAACCATCCAATTTCCTACAAGGTAAAAAAACACATGTGGCCTGATGAAACGCGGTACAGCGAGGTGGAAACAACATATGCTCTTAGAATGTCAAAATATATTTGTGGACAAACACTGGTAATACAAGAATGCAACGAATGCAAATAAAGCAATCAGATACATGATATATATATATTTATGTATGTTTGTAGATTGTCATGACTTAGCCCTCGTTCACACCTGAACGTTTTGTAGCGTGTTCTACGCTCGGCGAACGCTCTACAAAACGCTCAAAAATATAAATCCCATTGTATTCAATGGTCTCGTTCCCACCTTGGCGTATTTCCGCCCGTCCCTAACGCGCCACAAAACGGCCCACGCCTGAAAAGGTACATGTACTACTTTGGGCCGTTTTGTTGCGCGTTTCCATTGGGATACAGCCAAGTTGCCTTCGGAAATGGGCGTTTGTCGCGCGACTTTTTTTACCGCGAATCGCGGTAAAAAAAACGTGCCACGGTCGCGCGACAGACGCGCATATGCAATACGCCTAGGTGTGAACGAGACCTAAACAATTCTAAAGATCCTTTGTTGTTCTTTTAAAGATATTATTATTATTACATAGTATTTATATAGCGCCAATAGTTTGCACAGCGCTTTACAATATAAGGAAGACATTACAGTCACAATACAATTTAAGACAAGATGGTAAGGAGGGCCCTGCCCCTGAGGGCTTACAATCTAAAATATGGGTAAAGTTCCTCTTTAAAAGGGGACCTTAGTGTACACACGTTTTCAATCTCCAAAACACAATTGCTGATTGTTCATAGAAAGAATTATTTTTAATTTTGGGGGGATTCAGAGTTCAGTGGCGTTGAATAGCAAGGTAAGTGACACTAGTCAGGTGATACATTGTCATTTTCCAAAGCGCAGACCTGTCAATGTTTTCAGTAAGCATAAAAGGAACTTTCCATTACCTGTCTTAACATTGCCTTGAAGGTCAACAGCCTGAGTCTCATAGTCAGAATCTCTCCTGCTTTCCCAAATGTAAATCCCTGCGATGGGGAGAAACAATGTACATAGTTTATATGTAACGGCTTTTATCTTTACACATAGCACAGTAACAGATGTAATATTCAGGAATACCTGGGACTGGGATAGATACAGTGCTCAGTATTCTTACAGAGGTGCACTGGTCAACATACTTATTTACATCACCTGCGACCAGTATTACCTTGTTATATCCAGGGACATGGCTACGAATCATAGGGCATCATAACAAAAAACTTAATGGGGCCCCTGCCTAATTCTCTCTATAGCAGCCGGCAGTGTCAACTGTGACAAAACGTGTCATTAATCTTAACATAAAGTATGCATAAATCAAAGTGAATATCCCCAGTGACAACATAGCCAGCACTAGGAACCCTTCCCAGTTCTATGCAAGATTAAAAAGGTCTTGACTTCCACGGTAGCTTGCAGTTAGATATGACAGGTCCTCTTGAAGTCTAAATGTGGATGTAAGCATGCTGCTGATGTCAGCTACTCGTTTCCATAACCGCTCTGCATTATACCGTGGCATCCCACTTTAGCAGATGCATGGTGCGTTTACCTGAAGGAAAAATGTGATAAAGGAAACGCCTCCAAGTGCCACGAACAGCAGGCAATACATGTTGCTTTGCGATCTGACCTGGTCCTCTGGTCCTGCGAATACCTGCAAAAAAAAATCACATTATTATTATTATTAATATACAGGATTTATACAGCGCCAACAGTTTGTGCAGCACTTTACAATATAGGGAAGACATTACAATCACAATACAATTCAGGACAAGATGGTAAGGAGGACCCTGCCCCTGAGGGCTTACAATCTAAAAGGGAGGGGCCACTGATACATGAGGCGGTAGCTGTGTGGGGATGAATTATTTGGGAACGTGATGGTTGAGCGGTTAGGTTGAGGTGGGATAGGCTTCCCTGAAGAGATCAGGCTTAAGGGATCGCCTAAAGGCAGTCAGAGTGGGAGACAGACGGACATGAGTAGTTCACTTTATAACAGCGGAGCTGCACTGCATGGAAAAAAAAGGAAATGTCATTTTGTGACATTTCAATAAAGAAAAAAAATAAAAGGAAGCCGCAAGACGCCCCACCGTCCATACACAAGGGACATTCTCAGCGAGAAAAACAGCCCGCTATAAAAACAAGGGGAGCATTCTACACTCAAAATACTCATTAAAGAGAGTATCACTTTCCCATAAAATCCAAAATGTTACTGTTGTCTCCAGAACAAGAAGTGAAGGAAAATTGTACAACGGGGACACCTGTGCAGGTGACAACTGTCTTACTTTGCAGAGATTTCCTGTCACTTTCTGTTATGTCTCCAGGACAGGAGTTCAGGGTGATTCTCCCAGTGGAACACTGAAATCAGTAAAAACCCAACAAGAGTTTAAATGAATGCCTACTCTATCCAAACTAAAAAGAAAACGTTTTTTGCTTTAGATATAATTCAAAGCTGAAATCATTTTTTAAAAACTTCCATTTTTATATATTTCTCAATAGTCACAAGGTATATAAGTCCATTTGTGCTCACCAAATGCCTTTTTAAACCCCATCATCTTATAAAAGTTGCAGTGAGATCACTGGGTTACATATAGTATGTGCAGAGAGCAGAGCTGTGGGAGGGACCCAGCAGGCTCTACCCACTGCAGGATGACTGCAGAAAACTAAAGGAGGGGGCGGAGACAAGACCAGTCACCCTGCACAAGGAGAGAGAGCAGCAGTAACCGGTCTTTATTACAGGAGGGGGCGGAGACAAGACCAGTCACCCTGCACAAGGAGAGAGAGCAGCAGTGACCGGCCTTTATTACAGGAAGCTCCAAGTGTCACACTGGATTGCTGCACAAATCTGGAAGAAATACACAAAGCTCACCAAAATTTAAGAAATAATACACATGGCTCTTGTATTTAGACAATATTAGCTTTTCCCGGCATTCACTTGTCATACATCACATGTATAGAAAAAGAACATTTAGCGCTCTTTCACACCAGCACATTGCAGTAACATGCACTACCACAACGCAGCATGTACAAGTTGGTGCACTGCAGCGCTAATTAATTTTGTAAGGCCCCCTAATGCATCACTAGAATGCACATGTGCATTGCAGTGTACAGCAAAAAAATTCAGTGTGTCCTAAATTTTTGTTCATGGATGTGGTATACTGCCTATTAAATTTGAATGGGCACGCAAACACATTACCACTAAACTCTGCACAAAAGTGCATGTGGCGGCACAGTGCTAACTGGTATGAATGGGCCCTAAAGGTGCAATCATGCCATAGTATTCTGTGGAAATGCATGCGCCATATCGTGCTTTTGTCAAACATTGAGGCACGCTGAGTTAAGGCAGCCCATTCATATAGAATTGCCCTCAACAAAGGAAAAGTCGCTCCTACAGTATCTTTTCACCCAAAGCAATGTGGTGCACTGTGGTGGTGCGTCACGTACGTACGTTGGGTTGTTACAATGACTATAGTTCTCCTTTAATACTAAAAATAACTAGCACCCAATCACACCAAAATAAAACTGCTCTAAATACTTTATAATGAGATTTCTATTTACTTATTAAATAATAAAATCTTTAAAATTATATTAAAAAGTACATTTGAAATAAACATGACATCAAAATCCAAACTTCCCATGAATCTGCAAGGGACATCAGCATTACCAAATCCCATTATGAAATAAAAGTACCTCTTTGCATAAAAAGGGCTCCCAAGCTCCATCATGTGACCTAACGCCTAGGCCAGGGGTCAGCAACCTGCGGCTCCGGAGCTGCATGTGGCTCTTTCATCTCTCTGCTGTGGCTCCCTGTCCAGGGTGTTCAGTCCTGAAACAGCTGTTCGGTCCTGAAATGTCACTTCTATCCGACTTTGTGAGTGGGGTGGAATAGGAGAGCAAGAGAGAAAGAAAGACAGAGAGGGAGAAAGAGAGAGAGAGGGAAAGAAAGAAAGAAGGAGAGAAAAAGAGAAAGAAAGAGTGAGAGAGCGAGGAGAGAGAGAAAGAGGGAGAGAGGAGAAAGAAAGAGAGAGGGGCAGAGAAAAAGAAAAGAAATCTATTGGCAATCACTCATTCCGCCACCTTGGGCGGGATTACATTGAAATGTGTGACCACGTCACCGGTCACACATTGTAACGTAGTCACAAACTTTGATAGAACACCGCAATCATGGGGGGGTACGGCCAGTACCCATGTGAAGGGTCCGGGCAGCCTGGGGGGGCCTCTTACATGAGTATCAGCTGTACCAGGCGGATGTGAGAGGGGAGGGCATGGAGGAGGCCAGGCCCCAGCAGCAGCAGGTAAGAGGAGTTGGGAGGAGGTACAGGAAAATGGACCCGGGCGACCAGCCCACCTGAGGCCCTGCACAACCCACCATAGAGAGTCTCAGATGGGCTGTGCAGGATATATGGTGTGCTCTGCAGGGTCACTCTCAGGTGCATTACTAAGCCCAGAGTCCAGTGCGTTACTAAGCCCACATATACCTATATACATGCTATAAATAGCATAAAGGTAAACAACGATATATGCCGTGTTATCTTCATTTTAGATGTCAAAAGGGTTTTGTGGCTCCCGGTTTTTTCTTTTCTGTGGGAAATGGGTCCAAATGGCTCTTTGAGTGTTTAAGGTTGCTGACCCATGGTCTAGGCAAACATAAAGTAGTCTCTAGCTATCAGAAACATTGTGGGTAATTTGTATTTTTAGATACTGCAGTCAGCCAGCCCGTCTAGTAGGCTTGCAGTGGTATTAGAGGATGATTATGGGGGGAAAATTAAAACATTTTCTTTTATGAAGAATTGTGCATTTTGTTTCTTCAAAAAGTGGACTTTCCCTTTAATGGTTATGCCCATTATGCCCTAGAACAGGGATAGGCAAACTCTGGCCCTCCAGCCGTGGTGCATCTACAAATCCTAATAGCCATTGCAGGACACTGACAGCCACAGGCATGAGTCCCAGAGGCCAACTTTTATTACATTTAAGCGATGGGGTCACTTTAAGCCTTGTAAATATGGCGGCAGAAGCCACATGAAGCAGGCCCTGTGTTTAGCTATTGTTGGTGATCATGAATATCTACTTTGAGATCCGGCACTCTAGGATACACAAGTGATAAATGTGATAACCTGATACATCCGTCACAACAGCTTAAAATTGGCTTCACTTTGTCATCTTTCCATTGCTAGACCTCAGTGGTGTTAATTGTCTTTGCCGCCATTAATGCCACATGATGCTCACCTCCTCTTTATCATCATCTGCATCAATCTTCTTTTCTTCCTTCACAGACGTTCTCCTGAGGCTGCTGTGCCGACTTGACTTCCTCCGCGTTATTTTTGTTTCGGTCGGTTTGTGGGAATCATTGATGTCTTCATAGTGGTTCTGACCTTCTTCATAGTGGTTCTCACCTTCTTTCCCTGCTTCTAATGTCTGAGAATGACACCAATGACATCAGTGTGCAACTTGGAAAATGAGATGAGCTAAGGTGTGATCAAGAGGTTGGGGGGTTACTAAAGAGAAGGAAAAAGAGAGAGAGAGAGAGAGAGAGAGAGAGAGAGAGAAAGATAGAGAAAGAGAAAGAAATAGAGAAAGCAAGAGAGGGAGAGAGGAAAGAGAGGGAGAGAGGAGAGGGGAAGAAAGGGAGAGAGAAAGAGAGGGAGAGAGAGAGAAGTAGAAAGAGAGAGAAAGAAAGGGAGAGGGAGAAAGAAAAGAAAGAACAAAAGAAAGAAAGATGGCAAGAAAGAAAAAGGAGAGCAAGAGAGAAAGAAAGACAGAGAGGGAGAAAGAGAGAGAGAGGGAAAGAAAGAAAGAAGGAGAGAAAAAGAGAAAGAAAGAGTGAGAGAGCGAGGAGAGAGAGAAAGAGGGAGAGAGGAGAAAGAAAGAGAGAGGGGCAGAGAAAAAGAAAAGAAAGAGAGAAAGAACGAAAGAAGGCAAGAAAGAAAAAAGAGAGAGAGAGAGAGAAAGAAAGAGAGCAAGAAAGAAAAAGAGAGAGAGAGGGGCAAAGAGAAAGAAAGAAATAGAGAAAGCAAGAGAGGGAGAGAGGAAAAAGAAAGAAAGAGAGGGAGAGAGGAGAGGGGAAGAAAGAGAAAGGGAGAGAGGAGAGAGAAAGAGAGGGAGAGAGATAGAAAGAGAGAGGGAGAGAGAAAGAGAGAGAAGGAGAAAGAGAGAGAAAGAAAGGGAGAGAGAAAGAAAGGGAGAGGGAGAAAGAAAAAGAAAGGAAAGATAGAACAAAAGAAAGAAAGAAAGATGGCAAGAAAGAAAAAGGAGAGCGAGAGAGAAAGAAAGAGAGAGAGAGAGGGAGAAAGAGAGAGAAAGGGAAAGAAAGAATGAGAGAAAAAGAGAAAGAAAGAGGGAGAGAGAAAGAAGGAAAGAAAGAAAGAGAGGGAGAGAGAGAGAGAAAGAGAGAATGAGAGAGAGGAGAGAGAGAAAGAGGGAGAGAGGAGAAAGAAAGAGAGAAGGGGAGAGAAAAAGAAAAGAAAGAGAGAAAGAGCGAAAGAAGGCAAGAAAGAAAAAAAGAGAGAGAAAGAAAGAAAGAGAGAGAAAGAAAAAGAGAGAGAGGGGCAAAGAGAAGGAGAAAGAAAGAAAGAGGGAGGGAGAGAGAGAGAGATTGGGAAGTATGAGGGTGAAAAGACCCAATAAATGACATGACTTTAAAATCGCCTTCATGTTGTATAACTATTTGCAATGAAATCGGCTATTCCGTTGCAGGTCCATACTTATCTTTTATATACAGTATAACCATAAGGCAAGTACGACAGTTTGCCGAAATAAAGGGTACAACATTATACATAAAGCAAATCCTTTAAAGGTCAGCAACAATAGCGGGTTACAAAGAGCATCTTTCCGATAGAGTAAGATGAGAGCTAGATACAAAGCATCATCCCATCACTGCATACAACAAAGTGTAATCTGAAGTGCTACCTAACCAACAATCCGAGATGGTATGACACTTAAAATGCAGCACTAAGCATAGCTGTCACAGCAATAAATGGGGATTTTGAAGGTCCATTATCATCTTAAAGCCAACTCCGGACACAAGAAAAATATACCCTGGCAGTGGGTTACATCCTTGGAAATAAAGTCCACTTACTTGCATGGTGACCAGGTTGTAGTAGACTCCATTAGGTATCTTCATCAGTTCACTATGAGATCCTTGTTCGGTAATGACCCCTTCATTGAATCCAGCGATAACGTCAGCGTTTCGTACTGTGGACAAGCGATGGGCTATGACGATGGTTGTCCGGCCTTCTCTAGCCTGGGATACAGGACAAGTATTTTGGTTTAGTACCAGGATAATTTTTTTCTTCAGATGAATGTTTATTATTTTAGCTGGGGATGCTTTTTATTTGAGATATTGATTCAGTTTCTGTGTTCGCAATCATTCCCAATCATCTCATGACAAACAATGTAAAAGACAGCCCACGATGACTTTTAAAGCCCAGTAGTTAAGTTTAAATGAGATAAATACATTACGGGTACAGCAAAACAGAAGTTGTGCAAAGTTTCCCAGCATTGCTGTGTGGTAACACACCTTGCCAATGGTAGTGTGCTGCAGCAAGGTGCGTTGTAGTGCCCTGCATTACATAAATACTACGTGCACTTATTTTAGGGTGTTTTAGTGTGTCAGGCATCCCATTCATACAATTTCCTGCATTAACACAAAGCCCCTTATTGTGCGACCTAATGTACGGTAACACACATGCTCTCACACAGCCTAACAGTGTGAACGGGGCCTTAAAGCTAATTTCTCCAATCAGCCTGCCTGAAGAATCTTCACATTTGACACTTCAACAAGTGCCCATCGCCTGCGTCCTCCTCTGCGAAATGTTGTTCCTTCTGCTGACCTTCTACGTCACTACGGTATCTTCTAGTGACATCAGAGCCAGTGGAAAAAAAACAAAGTGCGCAGCGGGGGACCATCCATTAAGTGTGTCAGGTATTAAGAAGCCGTTGCTGTGCAAGAGAGCAAAGATTGGTGGATCCTGAGTATTTTTCATTTTGGAGGTCCCTGCTTTGTGATCTTTTTTCCATTACTACGGTAGTAAACTGCCAAACCAAAATGGGAATTTTGGACCCCCAGGAGGTGTTTGCCATAATGTGTTAGTATGCACAGCACATTATGGAAGATACCTTGCAGGCAATCCCCTCCAGCGTCCGATGTCAGCCCTCTCCTCCGTTGCCGGTGCTTCCATCTTCTCCTGGTCTTCTTTTGGGTTCAGCATCTTGATTGGCTGGGCCGGGCTAAAGTAACAGCTGCGCATGCACATGGCAGTAACTTCATCTTGGCACAGGACTTGGCTGAGATTGTACACTGAGTCGGGCTTGCACATGGCAGTAACTTCATCTTGGCACAGGACTTGGCTGAGATTGTACACTGAGCCGGGCTTGCACATGGCAGTAACTTCATCTTGGCACAGGACTTGGCTGAGATTGTACACTGAGCCGGGCTTGCACATGGCAGTAACTTCATCTTGGCACAGGACTTGGCTGAGATTGTACACTGAGCCGGGCTTGCACATGGCAGTAACTTCATCTTGGCACAGGACTTGGCTGAGATTGTACACTGAGCCGGACTTGCACAAGGAAGTTACTTTGTCTGGGCACAGGACTTTGCCAAGATTGTGAACTAAGCCCTGCATGCACACAGGAGTTACTTCATGCTTGCACAGAACTTGGCTGAGACTGTACACTGAGCTACATATGTGCAGCTCAGTGCATGTGCTCAGCCACATGCGCCGCTCAGCACGCACAAACACTGGCAGGCAGGCAGGCAGGGAGAAGCAATTATGATAGAACAGACATCAAAAGTTTCTTCTGTCATAAAAACCCGACCTTTCAGTGTTTTTTTTTTAATCGCATGTTTTACCCAGCGAGTCACATTAATAAATACAGATCTAGAGGGACATGGGTTGGAAACAAGTTGGAAACAAGGGGGGTGATTTACTAACCTAAACACACACACACACCAGGTGTGTGTGATTTTCACACAGCAAAACGTATTTATCAACCAAAAAGTCTCTAAAAGCATATTTCCACTAATGCCATATATGGAAAAATCATGCACATGATGCATATATAATGCTGCTTCACAGTTTAGACAAAAATGGTTAGCTCATGCATTTACATTCCTGCATTCATCAACGCAAGCAACATAACATAGAGCTAATTTACACCTCATTACCTTGCAATTCATTGCAGGGCTTTGCACAACACACCTGCTGGGTGTGTACACACTACAAAGGTGTTTCGATTCCTCCCATAGATCATGCTGGGAGGGAACACACTACAGAGGTGTATACACGTTCGTGGTGTGTTTAAAAGGTTAGTAAATCAACCCCAAGATGTCAGAATGAGTAAGTGGTGTATAAGGTGACAGTGACAGATTGTGGAGGAGTAAGCAGTGCTGGATCAGTGAACAAAAACATCATAGGTCAAGTAACATTCTTAAATAAAATGGTGGGTTGTAAGGGTGCAATTGAAGCTTTCGAGCGTTGGAGGGTGAGGGCATTGGGCATAGAAGAGCATGTGAGAAGTCCAGAAGGAAACGTCTGATTAAACCCCCACCAGGATAAAACTAAATACCTTATCCAGAGCCGCCTGCACCATGGCTTCACTCTCTGTGTCCAGAGCAGAAGTGGCTTCATCCAGAAGGAGGATTTTGGGGTTGCGGACCAGCGCCCGTGCGATGGCGATTCTCTGCTTCTGACCTCCGCTCAGCTGTGTTCCTCTCTCCCCTACCAGAGTTTCAAATCTCTGGAAATTCACACATTCACACATGTCAGTATTAAGGCTTCCACTGACAAAGTGTTTACGTTGTAACTTTATGTAAATGTAAAAATTACACATTTGGGGGCATATCTATAAAGCAAGAAATCTGTTATGTACCAAACATTCACTGCTGGGGTACCTGTACTCTCACCTCTTGTAGGCATAGTTACACTGTTAGACTGACAACACTGGGCAAAGCAGAGCCCTGAGTGCTGCCCCTCCTTCCTCCTGGACCCCACTCCTACAGGCCTTAAGTAGTACAGAGATTCCCCCCAACCTGATATTGGACAATAAAGGAGCAGCAGCATTCTACAGGGATTCATCCCTGTGTGCACACTTCCTGTAAGCATAATTACAATGTTAGACTGACAGCACAGTGCAAAGTAGAGTGCTGATTGGCTCTGAGTGCTGCAGTGCTTTGGATCACGCAAGATGAAATCAAGACCGAAACGACTACGACTGCTAGTTATATGTACAATGCACACTAGCATACTGAAAGCAATATCAGACAGTTCATTGAAGAGGCTTTTCTGGGGAAAAAACAATGCAAAATATGAATATTGTGAAATATTCTTTTTCCAATAACAGAAAATAGAAGTTACATCTGGCAGCTTCATGATGAAGTTGTATGCGTTGGCCTCTTTGGTGGCTCTTTCGATCTCCTCCATTGTGACATTTTCACGGCCGTAGCGGATATTCTCGGCAATGTTGGTATCGAACAGGATTGGCTCCTGGCTGACCACACCAATAATCTCCCTCAAGTATCTCAGGTTTAAGTTCCGAATGTCTTGTCCGTCTATGGTGATCTACGGCGATAAAGCACAAGTCCAGAAGGTCATGTAAAAAAAAAAAAGGTGATGTGGGCTTTGGGTAATAGAAATAGGAGAACAAGAAGAATTTGATGGAATTGTATTTATTGAATTATTGGGTAGCAAGTACCTTATTCAGCAGGTACCAGCTCCCACTTTCTGGCATCCCTGCAACTAGTTTCGAATTATTCTGCAAGTGGTGTGAGCTGGCCCTCTGCTTGCATGTTCCTATTGGCCAGGTAAGGCCACCCTTCACAGGATGGGCCAATGGGAATATGTTGTATATAGGCCACTATGGATAAATAGGCATGTTACAGTGACCTGAGATTCAGGCACCCCAGGTAGGTGTCATCCAAAGGCCTGCACAGGAATCGGTGGATGCCTGCACTGTATGGCTGTTGTTTTGTGGTTATGAACCGTTTATTTTAAATCACAGTATTACAGCTTGTAGATGCTGTACAAAGGTGTTGCAGTTGGGCGCTGCCATCACAGTCCCTGGTCAACATAAACATTGTTTAGATTACATTAGGTGTATCTGCACTGTCACCGCAGATACGTGTTGAGAGCAAGGAGACATCTGATTCCATAACTGATTGATTCCATGTCCAATGTCAGGAGTCATAAAGAATGATTTCTGTGCTGCACTTCACTCGTGTAATCATTACAGATCACAAACTGCAAGAAGCAGGCAACCCCAATAGACTGTCTTTAAGGCTGAGCTTGTCATAGATTTTCTGATATATAAAGGATCAGTTGGGGAAACATTGACAAAACTAAGCCATCCTTCCATTACCTCTTTTCCCTTCATCACACTCCATCTACAATCAAGCCCCTCTGTTCCTGCCTCTGCCCTAACCCTTCCTAGTCTGAACATTCACTTTCCATTTAAATAGTGACAGGGGGCTTATAGATCCTCAGAAATAACCACTTGTGCAATTGCCTCTATTACACATTTTGGTTCACTGCATGTGATTTTTAGTAACACTAAGACTGAGAGTGACTTACAATCATTTGTACATATTGTATGCATCTGAAGAAAAGTAAATTGTGTCCTTACCACGCCTTCCTCTGGATCATAAAACCTCTGTATAAGCTGGACTGTCGTGCTCTTTCCGCAACCACTACTGCCAACAAGGGCCACTGTTTTACCATTTGGGACTGTGAGGTTCAACCCTTTAAGGACCTTTAACAACAAAAATGACAAATTAAATTAGTCTGTATTTAAAGTGGAATGCTGGACATTTTTTAGGGGTCACATTTCCTGCAGATCACACAAACTTCAATCGGTTGCAGAAATATTACAATCTGATAGGAGCTATTGGAGGGATTTTTTTTCATTGGGCAGCTGAGCATTTAAAGCAGGGGTGGGCAACTCCGGCCCTCCAGCTGTGCTTTTTTTTAAATACATTCTTTATTTAGGATAGACACATACAGTCACATTAATAGTGTAAGCCAGTTATTGGTAGAACTCGTAGAATGACAAGTAAATTGAAATCTGTTAAACAACATCTTGAACTGTATGATATGAGATGAGAACATAAACTGGCAGCCAATATGAGAATATTATATACTAGTATGTCGTCCTCTGGTTTTTTAATCATAAAAAACATTTGGCTTCAAAAAGAAATAAAGAGGTATTGAGCAAATAGAGAACAGAGAGTATGAACAGTAACGTAGATATAAAAGAGAGATTGGGAGGTGCATGGGGAACATATAAGAAAGAGCAAGAGAAGCGATGGGAGGAGGAGGGGGAGGATGCATTACTAGTTATTTTCTGGGCCTCTTTAGCAGACATTAAAGGAAATGTCTTTTTTTTGTTTGTTTTTTTGCCATAGCAGTTTAAAGTGCAACTTGTATGGTTTGAGCAAACTCCATGTCACATTGTGCCTTAATTCTGTGGCCTTGGGGGAATCAGGTGGTAGTTACTACAAAACACAAGCTTTGGGTGCCATATTAGAACCCAAGATACCAGGACGTCATATGAGGATGAGGATAAGATTGTGTAATTCATGACATGAAATGTTAAAAGGATGGACATTGAAAACACCAAAGAGTTAGGACTAAGGAAAGAATAGATAGTTATATCAACGATAAAGTGGAAGAAAAGAGGGACAAAAAAACAACATAAACACATAAACATAAAGTGGACCTCCTCCAGCAGCAGGAAAGGTCAATCAAACACAGCTGTGCTTTAACTTCAAATCACAACATGCCTCTGTATCTGGGAGTCAAGCCTGTAACTGTAAGTCTTGCAATGCCTCATGAGACTTGTAGTTCCACAACAGCTGGAGGGCTGGAGTTTGCCCACCTCTGATTTAAAGTGCATTTAAGGGCAAATTTAAAAAACAAACCAAAAACATATTGAGTACATCCATCCATAAAATGTAGGTTTTCCCATGCTTTGAACACTGCCGTACTGTATAGTAAATAGAAAATGAAGAAAACAAAAATCCGGAGGCTCTGTGCAGACCGGAGCGATCCGGGATCGTGTGTCCCTAGATCGCGCGGCCCTGCACAATGCAGACAGTGATTGCCGCGCGGCCCGGGGTGACATCCGCACGGCAATCGCAGGAAAAAAGGTACATGTGCCTATTTTTTGCGATACACGACTCGCGGCTGTTTAAGAAAATAATGGCACCGACAGCGCGACCATCTGTGCTGGGCAACTCCACGACCTTGCGGCAATCTGCGCGGAATCATGCATGATTGCTGCACAGTCAGGAGTCACCTAGGTGTGTACCGTCCCTGTAGAAGAAAACAAATGCAGTCACAACATCTAAGAACTGTAAGCTGCAATATTTTACATTGTTTGTTCTTGGGTTTACTGTAGATACATGTATAGATATAACCCTGAAAAAGAGTTTACCATCCAATTTTTGTCTTTGTGACTGTTGTGATTATACCTTCTCATGTATTTATAAAAGGTACCTAGAAGTTTGGATGAAATAATGTTATCTTTACAGTGTTTGCACAGTGTAACAAACAGTGACTGTTGTGACCTTTGGAACGTAGGTAGTTACACAATAAACAATATTCTATGACTTGAACACTAGTCCCAAAGATGAGGAAACAGATAATGCACGCATACTACTGATCACTAATGGTGTTCAAAATGACTATAAATAGAAAAAACAAACTTTACAACTAAGAGATCACGAACAGTCGTGTGAATAATCAAAAATACCATGAAGTAAAAACACAGAATTCTTTGTCTGGAAGATGGGCATGATTTAACGGGCCACTATTGATCACAATATTGTATTCTTATTACTGTATGCGGCTAATACATGTGATGAAAGTATTTAGTATAGGAATTCTTTCTTTTTTTTATTTCACATGACTTTATATATTTTTTCTCTACATTTTCAGGCGGGCCAAGCTGTCCACCAAAGGTGACCTTGGGATTGGGTTGGGCATAATTTAAAGGAACATTATTGTTTAAAGTAGAACTATTGGTTAGGGCGTTTCCCCATAGTTCTCCTTAGGGTAACGGGAGGACACAAACTAGCGTCCTCCCGTCACCCTAAGCTCAGTATACTGCGAGCTACAGCCTGCGGTATACTGAGACGCCACAGCTGAAACGGATCCCGACAATTATGTCTGGATCCGCCCAGCTGCGTGAGTGACAGCTGGCTCTGCCTATCTGCCTATCTAGAGGACACGGAGTCGCCCAGCACAGATGGTCCTGCTATGGGTGCCATTATTTTCTAATGGCACCCCAGTCGCTCCGGGCGGATTCCGCCCGTGCATCCGAACGCGATGAAACAGACGTGCGTCGTGTATTGCAAAACAAAGGTACATGTACCTTTTTCTGCCGCGCAACCCCATTGATTTCAATGGGGTAACATCCGCGCGCCAATCACTGTCTGCATTGTGCACTGGGCTTCGAATTTAGCTCTTGCCCTATCCGTTCTGTGGACTAAACTGATACAAAGCCTATCAATTCAACATTGACTTATTTATTTATTATTGGTATTTATATAACACTGACAAATTACACAGTGTTTTACAAACTGGAAATCAGTCTCTGCCCTCAAGTAGCTTACAATCTAAGTTCCCTATTCACACGCTAGCAGGGCCAATTAACCTTCCAATATGTCTTTTGGGGTGCAGGAGAAAACCCACACAAGGACAGGGAGAACATTGCACCTTGCAGAAAAATTCCTGACTGGGATATGAACCAGGGATCCCAGTACCAGAAGGCTGAAGAGCTAACCACTGTGCTGCCAACATGACTGTTCTTTAGCTATGGCAGAGCTCATTCACCCACCTGGATATCCGGCCTTGATGGATAGGTAAACTTTACACCTGAGAATTGGATGTCTCCTTTAATGCTGTCTGGTTTAAATCCTGCTGGAGAGAAGCTGTCTATTTTGGGTTTCTGCAAAAAAAAAGAAAAATTAATTCAGCTGTCATAGCAAAAAGGCAAAATCAAAGTGAGACTTTTTTTTTGTTTTTTTTTTTAATAGAAAGTGTCTTTATAGCAGTTAGTTACATAGTTGTTAAGGTTAAATAAAGACACAGGTCTATCCAGTTCAACCTGTATGTGTGTATGAGTTGCTAAAAATTCCAACACCCCTGTATATTGTCTTCACTGAGGAAGACGTCTAGAAGTTTCTTGCATGAGTCTCATCAGTTTCTTGTATACTCTCAGCAGTTACCACTATCTCGGGATGGGAGCTCCTCAATGTTACCGCACTAACAATAAAGAATCCTCTACGCAGCTTGAGATGAAATCTCTTTTCCTCCAATCTCAGTCGGTGGCCTTACAGTACATATTTTATTACTGATTCTACCATCACCATTCAACAATCTGTACATTACAATCATATCTCTGCTTCATCACCTCTATCCAGAGTGAACAAGTTTCATTTCTGCAATCTTTCCTCCTATCTTAGTTCCTCCAGTCCCCTTATTATTTTCATTGCCCTTCTCTGGACTCTCTCTTCAAGGACATCCTTCCTGTGGATCTGTGACCCAGACTGAACCGCATTCTCCAGATGAGGCCGGACCAGTGTTTGTATAGTGGAAGAATTATGGATTTGTCTCTGGAGTCAATACACTTTATTAAGGATGATAGTAATCTGCCAGCCTTGTCTGTTGCGGCCTGGCATTACATGCTATTACTAAGGGCTAGTTCAAACCAGCTCCAGTGTGTTCCGGCCCATTTACAACACGCTCACTGCGTTCTGGGGCTGGAGGGGGCGTGGCAGTGCATTGAAGTCAATGGCACCACAGCCACGCCCCCCGGCCGCAGTGCGATCGCCTGCACCGCAACACGTGGCACATCAATTCCAGCGTTGGGGTTTTTTTGATGGGCAATGCAACTTGCATTTGACATCAGTTTGAGGCAGTTTTTTTAAATCACTGACAGTTGATTGGCAGGTGCAGTTGACCTCCTAAGCTGCATCAACCAGCTTCAAGCTGCTTTTGTATTCCCATAGAGTTGTATGGGGGAGGGGGGGGCAGGGAGCAGTTCTGATGTGAAGAGAAGTCCTTCGGCACAGGCCCTGAAATAAATACTTACATTATCGATAATATTGAAAACTGCGTATGCCGCTCCCCTAGCGCTGGAAAAGGCTTCAATATTGGGGGAAGCCTGACCGATACTGAAAGCTCCAATGATGACCGCAAAGAATACCTAAGAAAGATGAAAATAACAACATAGCTTAAACTGTGTGTGAACTCTAATAATGAACTTTCCTTATTTGCTTCCATTGAGAGAGTTTTGTTATATCTGCTTAATAAGTGCAAAAATACCCCTGTTGATCCTGCCAGAAATCCTGTGAGCTGATAAATTCCTGTGCTGTCTGCCTGATCAGCATTGTTCCTTGCCTTCTCTGTGGACTGCAGAACAACTTTCCTCTATGTTATAGAGATGACAAGGTGGTGTTCTGTAGTCCAAACACACTTCCTGTTTTAGGGTGAGGGCGCTGTTCCCCCAAAGATACAGTTAGTGAGCATTGTCACTCTACGACAGGAAGTGTGTTACTGGCCGTATCACCAGGTGAAAATAAAGCATATATAGCCTAAAAAAGAAAACTAAGGCAGCCGCCACATCAAGGAGTGGTAAGCTGCAATATATTACATTTTGGCTCTTAAGGTTAAATACACTTTAACAAAATGCTGGTGGCACATGGAACAGAATGCATTCTATAGAAACATCACATGTCCTGCTGATAAACATGAGTCAAAAAAGCCTAATAGATGCTGAACAGTGCCCTGTTCAACAGATCAGTATATAAACAGCTCAGGTTATAAACAGCTCAGTGAATGTACAGCTCATTATATGTACAGCTCAGTGTATAAACAGCTCAGGTTATAAACAGCTCAGTGAATGTACAGCTCATTGTATGTATAGCTCAGTGTATGTACAGCTCAGTGTATAAACAGCTCATTGTATGTACAGCTCAGTGTATAAACAGCTCATTGTATGTACAGCTCAGGGTATGTACAGCTCAGTGTATGTACAGCTCAGGGTATGTACAGCTCAGTGTATGTACAGCTCAGGGTATGTACAGCTCAGTGTATGTACAGCTCAGGGTATGTACAGCTCAGTGTATGTACAGCTCAGGGTATGTACAGCTCAGTGTATGTACAGCTCAGGGTATGTACAGCTCAGTGTATGTACAGCTCAGGGTATGTACAGCTCAGTGTATGTACAGCTCAGGGTATGTACAGCTCAGTGTATGTACAGCTCAGGGTATGTACAGCTCAGTGTATGTACAGCTCAGGGTATGTACAGCTCAGTGTATGTACAGCTCAGGGTATGTACAGCTCAGTGTATGTACAGCTCAGGGTATGTACAGCTCAGTGTATGTACAGCTCAGGGTATGTACAGCTCAGTGTATGTACAGCTCAGGGTATGTACAGCTCAGTGTATGTACAGCTCAGGGTATGTACAGCTCAGTGTATGTACAGCTCAGGGTATGTACAGCTCAGTGTATGTACAGCTCAGGGTATGTACAGCTCAGTGTATGTACAGCTCAGGGTATGTACAGCTCAGTGTATGTACAGCTCAGGGTATGTACAGCTCAGTGTATGTACAGCTCAGGGTATGTACAGCTCAGTGTATGTACAGCTCAGGGTATGTACAGCTCAGTGTATGTACAGCTCAGGGTATGTACAGCTCAGTGTATGTACAGCTCAGGGTATGTACAGCTCAGTGTATGTACAGCTCAGGGTATGTACAGCTCAGTGTATGTACAGCTCAGGGTATGTACAGCTCAGTGTATGTACAGCTCAGGGTATGTACAGCTCAGTGTATGTACAGCTCAGGGTATGTACAGCTCAGTGTATGTACAGCTCAGGGTATGTACAGCTCAGTGTATGTACAGCTCAGGGTATGTACAGCTCAGTGTATGTACAGCTCAGGGTATGTACAGCTCAGTGTATGTACAGCTCAGGGTATGTACAGCTCAGTGTATGTACAGCTCAGGGTATGTACAGCTCAGTGTATGTACAGCTCAGGGTATGTACAGCTCAGTGTATGTACAGCTCAGGGTATGTACAGCTCAGTGTATGTACAGCTCAGGGTATGTACAGCTCAGTGTATGTACAGCTCAGGGTATGTACAGCTCAGTGTATGTACAGCTCAGGGTATGTACAGCTCAGTGTATGTACAGCTCAGGGTATGTACAGCTCAGTGTATGTACAGCTCAGGGTATGTACAGCTCAGTGTATGTACAGCTCAGGGTATGTACAGCTCAGTGTATGTACAGCTCAGGGTATGTACAGCTCAGTGTATGTACAGCTCAGGGTATGTACAGCTCAGTGTATGTACAGCTCAGGGTATGTACAGCTCAGTGTATGTACAGCTCAGGGTATGTACAGCTCAGTGTATGTACAGCTCAGGGTATGTACAGCTCAGTGTATGTACAGCTCAGGGTATGTACAGCTCAGTGTATGTACAGCTCAGGGTATGTACAGCTCAGTGTATGTACAGCTCAGGGTATGTACAGCTCAGTGTATGTACAGCTCAGGGTATGTACAGCTCAGTGTATGTACAGCTCAGGGTATGTACAGCTCAGTGTATGTACAGCTCAGGGTATGTACAGCTCAGTGTATGTACAGCTCAGGGTATGTACAGCTCAGTGTATGTACAGCTCAGGGTATGTACAGCTCAGTGTATGTACAGCTCAGGGTATGTACAGCTCAGTGTATGTACAGCTCAGGGTATGTACAGCTCAGTGTATGTACAGCTCAGGGTATGTACAGCTCAGTGTATGTACAGCTCAGGGTATGTACAGCTCAGTGTATGTACAGCTCAGGGTATGTACAGCTCAGTGTATGTACAGCTCAGGGTATGTACAGCTCAGTGTATGTACAGCTCAGGGTATGTACAGCTCAGTGTATGTACAGCTCAGGGTATGTACAGCTCAGTGTATGTACAGCTCAGGGTATGTACAGCTCAGTGTATGTACAGCTCAGGGTATGTACAGCTCAGTGTATGTACAGCTCAGGGTATGTACAGCTCAGTGTATGTACAGCTCAGGGTATGTACAGCTCAGTGTATGTACAGCTCAGGGTATGTACAGCTCAGTGTATGTACAGCTCAGGGTATGTACAGCTCAGTGTATGTACAGCTCAGGGTATGTACAGCTCAGTGTATGTACAGCTCAGGGTATGTACAGCTCAGTGTATGTACAGCTCAGGGTATGTACAGCTCAGTGTATGTACAGCTCAGGGTATGTACAGCTCAGTGTATGTACAGCTCAGGGTATGTACAGCTCAGTGTATGTACAGCTCAGGGTATGTACAGCTCAGTGTATGTACAGCTCAGGGTATGTACAGCTCAGTGTATGTACAGCTCAGGGTATGTACAGCTCAGTGTATGTACAGCTCAGGGTATGTACAGCTCAGTGTATGTACAGCTCAGGGTATGTACAGCTCAGTGTATGTACAGCTCAGGGTATGTACAGCTCAGTGTATGTACAGCTCAGGGTATGTACAGCTCAGTGTATGTACAGCTCAGGGTATGTACAGCTCAGTGTATGTACAGCTCAGGGTATGTACAGCTCAGTGTATGTACAGCTCAGGGTATGTACAGCTCAGTGTATGTACAGCTCAGGGTATGTACAGCTCAGTGTATGTACAGCTCAGTGTATGTACAGCTCAGTATATGCACAATCATACAATTACTAAAGAAGGTTATGATCACTTTGTTTGAATTTAGGGAAGACTCGAGGTTGGGGTAACTATGTTAAAAAAGAACCATCAACATCTCAAAGACAAACCCATTATATGTTCTTTCTCAGTCCAAATATTGTAAATGTTTTAATACTGATTGACAGCTGGATCTGCCCCACTAGAGCTAGAGCCAGCTGTGCCCGCCCCCTTCAGTGTCTGCCCCTCCAATGAGTGCTGGAGGAACAGAGAGGGGAGGGGGGAATCTCTGAGGGGCGCAGTGATTGACAGTCTCTGCAGGGAGGAGCCATGAGCTGAGTGATCAGCAGTCACATGATCGCCCAGCTCTCGGTATAAGGAGCCAGCATGTGACAGCTGCAGTGGCCCACGCCAGATCTAAGTATTGGGAGGAGTATATTCTACTCTGCCAATACTTCTCCTTTAACTGACATGTTTGCTATTTAACTTTTCCTCCTTTCAGGAACTTTGACTGACAGCTACCTCTTGCTGAGGTTGTGATCCACGGCTTACTATGAGCTCATATTTAAACACACATAACGGAGGTGGCTCACTGAGCAGCCAGTCAATCGGGAGCAGATTAGTTCCCAATATATAAAATCTTTGGTTTTGGGTTTAGATACACTTAAAAGACTGTGCAGTCTTGTGAAAGATTTACTGTATACTCCACCCACCTCTTTATTTAGTTCTATTTATTTTGTCTGAGGCTGACACCTCAGCGTCTGTTAGGGGGCGGGTCAGAGGTCTGCTGAAGTCTGACAGTCATTGCCTTATCCATCGCCTGACCGCACACACCGACTCCCAGCTTCTGAGTGTCCAATGTGTGGGGTCAAGTAGCTGACAAGGCAGCCAATGACTGGTTCTCTTGGCACCACAGAATAAAATCATTACTTACCGTGAGCACGCTCCCAATGGAGTACTCTTCACTTATGATCAGGGTGGTGCCATACCAGAATGCCAAAGCATAAGACGCGTATATCATTAGGAAAGCAAAACCGATAGACACATTGGCTGTAATCGCTTTCTTGATTCCTATCCTTTTGGCGTCTTCTAAATTCTTTTTATACCTGGAAGAGACGTCGAAATCACATTAGGCCAGACCTCCACACTAGATCACATGTACCTGTGGCTGAACACACTCCCACACCCCTATCCCACTCCTAATAACCATATCCATCTAGAAGGTTGTAAACTTACTGAATACCCATAGCATGTACTTCCTCAATGCACTGACAGAATTTCACTCAGGCCTGCGAATATGCACTTCCTTCAACGTCTGAACAATGTAACATAATGATTGCTTGCTGGAAGCAATGCATGATGGGATATGAAGTCTTTAGAAATGGAGATTGCATCATTACACCAGGCAGCAGGCAAAGAGATGCAAAGCTCACTGGGAATCCAGGAAGGTGTTGGGAGTGATGGGCAGACGGAAGGCAGTGCTCACTACACAAAAGGAATTTTTTCAAGTAAGCTTTGATTGTATTATCAAAAACAACTCTATTCCTATTACAATGCTGATGTTATAACAGGAGAGGAGATGCTGGGACTTTACAAGTCATTTAAGGGCCGGTCATTTTTGCAAACATGCGCAATGGTTTTTGTGTTATGACCTGTTAATAGCCAGTTATATTCTGTGCATTAAGAAAACACATCCAGCTTACAGAGAAACACATCCAGCTTACAGAGTTGGCTGGAACTAGCTCCTGTGGAAGTCTATTCCATGTTTTCACAGCTCTTACTGTAAAGAAGACTTTCAGAAGGTGGAAGTTACATATTTTTTCTAGACATGTGCAATGCAAAAAAAAATATTTTCTGACGAAACAAATGAAAACGAAAAACACTTCCATTTGTTTCATCAAAGAAAACAAATTTTTCTGCTGCTTCAGATTCGGAGGCAATGAGCCTCAGAATCTGAAACCGCACACTGACAATGCATGTCGGCCGCTGGCGTGCCCTGCCATCTTTGAGTGTATCTTGGTATACACCAAGATAGCAGCGCTCATATGTTTGGGCACCACCATCTTGGCGTACACTAAGATATACTCAAAGATGGTGGTGCGTCTGAGCAGACCACGCCAGCGCTTGTTCAGCGTGTGGCGTCACGCTGAAAATGCAGAACAAGCGGTGGCCATGTCTCCATTCGTTTCATCAAAGAAAACTAATTTTTCTGCTGTTTCGGAATCGACAATGCATGTCGGCATCCCACGAGTTCTGCGCTTGCGCACTGCCATCTTTGAGTGAATCTTGGTATACACCAAGATGGCGGAGCCCGTATGTTCGGATGCTGCCATCTTGGTGTATACCAAGATATACTCAAAGATGGCAGCACGCCTGCGCAGAACGTGCCAGTGGCCAATTTGGCTGCCGCTCGTTCTGCAAACAAATGAATGTATGCCTGAATATCGTTTTAGTAAATTCGGGCATATAAGAAACTCATTATTTCGTATTCGGACGAACAGTCGAATCAACTGAATTTTGTTGATTTGCAGGTTCGTCCGAATCCGAATGCACATGTCTAATTTTTTCGTCCTTCTGTCCTTTAAAAAGAGAACTACGAACCAAGTGAACAACTTTGCATCAGGTTCACTATTTGGACCATCTATGTATTTAGACAAAGTAATCCCATCCCCCCTTAATTGTCTCTTCTCAAGGAAAAATAAATTCAGTTCACTTAATCTTTCCATTTCTCCATGCTCTTTAATAGTTACATTGCTCTTCTCTGAATTCTCTTCAATTCTGCAACATGAGGTCTTACTAATGCTTTGTATTGGGGTAGTCCTTGGGGTGGGGGCGAGGGGTCCATGCATCTGTAGGTATGCCACTGGTTGCCAATATACAGTATATGCATTTGATCTTTGTATCATAAAGTACATCACCAGACAACAGGGACTAACCTTTCAATTTCTTTTCCCTGTCCACCAAAAGCCATGACAGTCCGGATCGCCGCCAGTACCTCCTCCGCCACCGATCCGGCTTTGGCGTACGCCGTCAGCTCCTTGTTAGTGAATGCTGACAGAATCTGTGAAGATACAAAGACACTTAAGTAAACTGGTCATGGCAAAAAAAAAAAAAACAAGGACTAGTTACCATCCCCGTAGTATGCAGATCAAGCAGTGGTGTCACAAGGGGGGTGTGGCACCATTGGACAATCATTTTGGTGTCACCCCCTCTGAAAAGTCAGGCATTTGGTCATGGGCCGAGAGCTCGACAGTTGCACGAGAGAGTAGGGGATCCGGCGGAATACCTTATCTTGATGGGTGACCATCCCTTCCTCTCTTTGCCGGCGTAATCATGTCTAGATGTCTGCAGCAGGTAAGCGCATGTGTGTGATGACATCACGCGCATGCGCGGTGACATTACGCGCAAACATGATGACGTCCCAGAGGGGTGTCACCCGGTGTTCGCCCCGGGTGACACCACACCTAGGGACATCCCTGCGATCAGGCCACTGTGAAGGCAGAGGCTCTTATCAGAACAATTGTTCCTGGACTGTGATTTGTAGACAATGAATCATCATGACAGCTGTGCAACTAACAACTTCTAAGGCGAGCTCAGCAATGATGGTCGTTATGTTCATCTCTTTTGACCTAGACCCGGTCACCTTGCCTATTTGAAGTTATGTCATTGGTTCTCTTGGAAGAACAACCCTAACTGCTGATACTCAACTTTTCGCAATCTCCTGCCGCTGTTCCTCCATTAGAGTCGAGGGCCCAAATCTGGAGTAAGCTCCTTGCCAGACAGTGTTGGAGCCTACACAGCGTTAATTAGGGATGCACCGATACCGTTTTTTCCGTATCGAGTACCAATATTTTTTTGTTGGTACTTGCCGACGCCGAATACCGATACCGGAAGTCCCGTTAAGGAAGCTGGGCAGCGTGTAATGACTCACCGCCCAGCTTCCTGATTAGCCGGGAAGCCGTCTCCATGCTCCCTTGTCACCAGGTGATGAGGGAGCATGAAGCCGGCTTCCTGGCTAATCAGGAGGCAGAGGGACGAGTCATTACCCTCCCCCCTGATTGGCCCCATGCTCCCCATGCTCCCTGGTGAATTGGGAGAATTTGGGCCCAAATACTTGGTATCGGCACAGATACAGATACTAGTATCGGTGCATCCCTAGTGTTATTAATGTACCCTGCATAACATGACAAAGTCTGCGCACAGTAATTGGCTATTCTGCCCTGAGCAGTGAAACCTGGGAGAAGGTCACATGCTACTATATACCCGGAAGTACCAGGCTCAGAAAGAGCAATGGGGCAGCATAGCAAATGTGGGATGAGGGCTGTTCTTTCAAGAGAACCAGTCCCTTGGCCTAGATTGGCAAAGAGTCAGCTCCCACCTCCCATCATGTTATTTTCAAAGACAAATACGTACCAGATCTGAAATGTTATTAACTAAAGCTGTAGGTAGACAGAAGATGAATGACACAACAGGAAACCATGTGTATTGTTATCTGCAGCCTTGGAACGATGCCCCCCTTCCCAGAACTGTACAAAAGTACAGATGGATTCTTACCTTTGCCCATATAGCCGCTGAGAGCCCCATGATGGGACTGATGGCCAGAATAACCAGCGTCAGCTTCCAGCCTTTCACAAACCCAATAACAAAACCGGTCACGAAGGTGGTTAAGGACTGGATAAGCATAGCGATTTTATCACCAATGCCTTCGTTAATTTTTTGGACATCACTAAAATACACACATGGAAAAAACAGAAAGGGATAAGAGGTAGGGACCGGGTATGTTAGCAAAGAACTGAGTAACTACAGTCATTATTAGATATACATGTCGGAGATCAGTTTAATAAAATGTCAGTCTCGCATTGCTCCTATTCATTTTTCATTCCTTTATTAAAAGTGCAACATGCTCCAATCTTGGTCAGGGCTGGATTTACTCTCGCCACTGCCCCAAGGCCTAATTCCTTAATGTGCAATGCAGGCTGCATACAATGTCGCCAAGACCACTTGTGCAAAACAAGCAGCTGATTCCCCGCTGTACATTTAGCTCTGCTTGCCCAAAGCAGGGCTAAATGTAGAAAACAACTACCCGCCCGGCGCCTGGAAGCCCAAGAAAACTAGGCCTATCCTTCCATCAGGAATTCAGCCAACCTTTGTCATCCATGTCCATGGCACTTGTTCTGCTCATCTATGAACACAGGGACAGTGGACGATCAGATATGAACGGATCATGGAAATATTTTATTGTTAATGACTAACTCGGAGCTCAAATATTAGGTGACCTTTGTATTATCAGCTACTTGCAGTATAAGAAACCTATGAGACCAACTACTAAAGGGAATGGACAACGCTCAACAAATATGTCAAAAGGCAGATCATTCGTATAATAAGTCTAGTTGTTTCATATAAATACATTGGGCCAGAAAAACTATGATTGGCGGTTGTTGAGGAATGAGAATGATTGCATGTGACATCTGATTTTGGCACATTGCATGTTAAGTACACTGCTATGTTGCAGCTCATATAGTTTATATGTCACATAGTAGATTATGTATCTGACTTGTACCAGCATCCTCTTCACTGCAGACCTATATTGCACCAAATATTTGTCAGACTCGTTTTCTCTACCAATGCTGATTTGGCACAGATCGCAAATCTTTTTACAAAAAAAGTCACACTTAGGATTTTGTTTTACCGGACTAGTCCCATTTTCATTTCAAACCCTTCAAATTAACTATTCATTGGTGCACCAACAATGGTTTATATGGTCAATCGGACATGCTGCAGATGGAACTGTATACCATTCTAATCTAAAATAGAGATAGATAGATAGATAGATAGATAGATAGATAGATAGATATATATATTCTGCATATTATTTATTAATTTTTTTTCTGCAGAATGAATTCTGTATATTAACAGGAAATTCTCTAGTTTCTGGAGATGGATAAAGAATGGCAGGAAGTCGTTCCCCGCTGTCTCGGAAGCTCGGAAGCTGTTCCTGGAACAGTCTTACATGTTGTACCTTTCCGGCTGTCGCCGGATTGTTAACCCCTGTAGGACTTTGTTACACCTTCTTGTGGACCAGAACATTCTTTCGTGGTTTTGTGCCAGTTGGTGTTTTTGTTTTTACGTTTTTTTATGTCTTAATATATTTTATCAGAACAAAGAAAGATTTAATGCTAATATCAAAACAGGTACTTATGCTAGCTGCATGTAAAAATACATTTAATTATATACTTTTTATATCTTATCATTAATGATCTATATATTGTTTAATCATTATATAATTTAGTTATGTAATTATTTATTTATATATGTATTCTGCATAATTTTACTGAACCTATAACCAAATTAAACGTTGGCTTTGGATCTTCCAGAAATTTTAGTAATTTTTACTCCATTTTATATGCAATGTGCACCCTTGTTACACATAAGGAAGTAGTGTGCTCCTGAATCAGCTGGCTTCCCTGGAACGCCTGCCGACTCTTTTTCTTCAGACCGAACAGGCAGATGCTTAATTTTTTTTTTATGGTGCAGTGGAATATAATGAAAGGTGTAATCTGATTGGCTGCTACAGGAAACACCAACTATAACATTTTATATTTCCACCTTTCAGAAAGGAAGTGCAGAGACAGTTTACATTGCTATAAAAAAAACCATAAGCTGATGATACAATAATGGCGGTGAAGACGCTCTGTACTTACGTTTCCATCTTTTCCTGCAGCTCGATTGACATGTTATACAGTTGTCCCACTGTCAAGACACAGAACAGAGGTATATGATGGAAAGAAGCAGGCCAGCCCTTAATGATATTATCATCGTTTTATGTAAGCATGAGAGCACACAATATTTAGGTTCAAATTTGTATATTAACACATACGTTAACACGTCCATAGAAAACCTCTCTTTGTAGTTTCGGATATAGTGGGGAAGGGGAAGGACTGCTGTTGGGGAGAGATATTCCCTCACTTCCTGTCACATTGATAGCGGTATCACCAGACAGGAAGTAAGAGAAAAACTGCAACAGAAACCCAGACAGAAATAAAAAGCTTTGAATCTTGAGAATATTTCAGAGGCGCTGGGAGGAGTCTCTTTCTTTCCTGCATGGTAGACCAAGGGTGGACAAATTAATATGGAATTCAGGAGCCAGTTTGTCCAATCCTGGAGCCAGGAGGACTTTTTTAGGGGCCAGCTGCATTAAAAACAACTGGAGAAAACGTCAAAAGTTAGACACCAGCTGCAATTTGTAAGGCGCATTGGCTGCTTGGCTCCTTGGATTTGTGCAGCCCTGTGATACATCCAACTTGATTTGTAGGTAGCTCATTAGCTTATGGTTAGGGAGATGCACAGCCTCCAGTAGGAGGTACTGGGAGGAACTCAGGGACAAAAAACAGAAGAGCACCATACCAGATGTCAAAAGTCCCTAAAAAGGTTTAATAATTGTGTTGATCAAACAGGTTTCAGGGGCAGACACAACCACCTTCCTCGGGGCTTGGAAACGATGAGAAAGAAGGAATGTACTTAGAGCAAAAGACTCAAAATGTGGATCTAATCACAGCTATGGGTTGTTCTCCCAAAATGTGTTGCCTGTGGAGTCCAACCACTGCCTGCAATCTACAAATTTTGGGAGAACTACCCATAGCTGCAATAAGATCTAAATTCCTTTGTTCTCATTGTCTCCAAGCCCTAAGGAAGGGGGTTGAGTTTGCCTCCAAAATGCATTGGCTGTTTGATCCACGCAATTATTGAAAATTTTTAGAGACTCAAACATCCGTTTTAGTCCCTGCAGCACATACTCACTACATTCTGCTCCCGGAAACAATAGATCTTCTAGTTGGAGGTAGAGATGAGTCCGGGCTTTACCTGAGTTTGCCCAAGTCCACTCAAAACTGTGACCTCCAACCCTTCAACCCAGCACAATCAGAGGTTGCATTTGCGGCAAGGGCATTTCCCACCCATTAGTGTCATATAGCTGTGGGCTGGGGAATGCGCCTCTCCGCAACTGATTGGGCTAGGAGTAGCAGGTGGCAGTCACAGCTTTGGGGGTTGTGGAGGCTGAGGACACTCACCCTGCCCCTATGAGTCAATCGCCAATTACAGGTGCTGTCACATGGACTGAGTCACATGCTCCTCCATACCCGGAAGTACTGAGTATTTTTTTTCTCTTGATAACTGAATGAAGCAGTGTGGGAGTGAAGGAAAGCTGAATATGTGCTGCTAAGGACGGGGAATTAAAGAAAACCTTTTGCACTGGTTTGATTTATCGTATGTGGCCCCTGGTGATAAACTCACGTGTCGCGTTCTTTCCAAAATCCACAAAGCTGTTCGTCATTTCCCCAAACACCAACATCATGAGTGGTAAGGCAGCTCCATGCACTAAGGCTGCTATCGTTCCAACCAGCATCAGTAGCTTTTCCATCCCTCCGGCGTATCGGAACTGAAAAAGAACCATCACACCGTTATCTCTCTTCCCTCGTGCAAAGGGAGGTACATTTTCAAAAATACTTCCTCAGCAGATGATAAAGTTAATTCTCTTACCTGTTACATTAATTTTAGGAATTATTTTATCTGTTTCTATCAAAACATTCCATGCAGTTATCAGAATATCCAAGGAAGCCAGGTGGCGTGAAATTACTCACCACCCGGCTTTCCGATTAGCATGAAAGCCATCTGCATGCTCCCTCGTCCCAGAGGAAGCATGGAGCCGGCTTACTGGCCAATCAGGAAACTGGGCGATGTGTAATGACTTGTTCCCCGGCTTCCAGATTGGTCGAAGCTGGCCAATCAGAAAGCCAGGCAACGAGTCATTACACAGCGCACGGCTTCCTGATTGGCCGGAAAGCTGGCTTTCTGGCCAATCAGAAAGCCGGGGGGCGGGTAATGACTCGCCGGCCAGAGCCGGCTCCATGCTCTCTCGTCAACAAGTGGCGAGGGAGCATGGAGCCAGCTTTCCGGCCAATCAGAAAGCCAGGCAGCGCGTAATGACTCGTTGCCCGGATTCCTGATACTGGAAGCTCAGGTATTGGGCTAGGCATCAGAGGATTTGTACGAGTACTCGCCCACATACTCGGTATTGGCACTGCTACTAATATCAGTGCATACCTACTCCGGGCCCAATCAGTTGCGGCCGGGCATTTCCCACCCTGTAGCTACATGTAACAAAGGGGAGGGGAATGGTCCGCAAAAACAACTGATTGGACCGGGAGGGCGGGTTTGTCACTGATAGTTTAGCACAGGATTGGGCGAACTCCGGTGCACTTGGTTCATACCAGCCCACATTATCAGTGAAGACCTACTTCAATTATCCAATCATGTAAAAATCTAATTCCTGTTTACTTGTTTCATTTGCACATGATTGAATATTCACAGTGAGCACAGCTACAATGTATTGAGGGAAGATCCACAACTCCATTAGCAAATCGACCTCAATATCTCTTGCTGGTTTCATGCAAAAAAGCATAATATCTTTATTCAATTTAAAGGGGCTACTTTTCAGATATTCTTGTTTCAAATGCTTTACAAAAGCAAGGATTTAACGTAATCCGGCCAGAGATTATGAAAATAAATGGCACCCTGTAGATGTGTGTTTCCATCACAGATCTAAAAAGCTCCAAACATTAGGGATAAAAGGAAATTTAGTGCAATTAAACTAATTAGATCAGACATTCTGACTGCCGCTCTACAGGCTTCCTGGATGTACAAATGTCTGATATTTATGAGCTAGGCAGACACTGTCATCATGCCAAATGTTACAGCTGTATTTAAAGGCGATGTCCACCTAGAAGTAATATGTCATTAGCTTCTACAGAATTTAAAGGGTATGTCTTGGCAAAATGAAACAAAAGTAAATACTCCGTACATCTATACAATACGTGCACATCTCCCCATGTTTTGCTGCGAGTGCAGAAAAATACCTGATGATCTACCAGGATATGAAGGAGCTACTAACTTTCTATAGTGAGCCGACAACACAGTGCCTCTGCTGCACTGAAATCTTCAGAAGTGTTGTCAGCCCTGCCTGAGTTTTCCTTTGCTGGTCTACAGAGAACCTCCACCTCTAGTCATCTCCATAACATACATGCATGGGCATAGCACAGTTTTCCTTTAAAAAGGATGTCCTCATACAAGTTAGAATGTAGATATTACGTTGTGTATCTGTTCTTCCCTCCTGAAAGCCTGATAAGGGTTAGACTGACAACAATGTGCAGAACAATAGAGAGTGTTCTTCTCTGTCTCATGGACTGTGGAGAACATTACAAAAGGATGATAACAAAACAGATTCAGGTATTGAATTAAATGGTGGTCTTCCATATGGACAGGAGTTTAGCTTTATCTGACAGTGGAAGCAATATCAGCCCTTAACCCCTTCTATCAATTCTATTCTACTTGAAGGAACATCAGTACCCCAGAGCTTTCGAAACGTCACCTCAAGCAACAGATGTCTCACCCTGTTCCCACCTGTCCTTGTGGCACCATTAAAGTCCGGGATGTTGAAATGTTTTGAAACTTTATATATCTTCGGATTTGGTACCTTGGAAACTAATTATTATATCTGTCCCCAGCCGAGATAAGTTGTACTGGGATGACTTATTGACAGATAACCATCTGAGGTGCCATCACTTACCATGGTGAAAGGGCTGACCATTTTTGGCTTTTCAACTTTCTCTTTTTCTTTTTTTTTGAATTTTGAGAACAATCCCTTTTTCTTGCTGCAAGAGAGAATAAATAAATATTAAATAAATGACCATATTATATTTTCATATCAACTTGTAAATGAACACTGTACATACAAACAGGGCAAAGCAACAGATTCACTTGGATGGTGGCCGCACCAACAGCACATACTTATTTACCTTTGGCTCTCCCAACACCTAATTCAGACACCAGAAACAAAGCCAGGAAGACTTGTGTAAGCTCTAAGTCATAATTTGGAGCTTACACAGGAATGGGGTCTCTTTCCCCATGTAAAAGGCCAATCACCTTTTGCCAGCGTTGTCACACCAGGGAAAGAGGAGTGAGTCACATGCTCCCCAATACTCAAACATGATGGGAGGTGTTCTGCAGGTTACAGTAGGCAGGGTAGATAACACAGGTTGGAATTTCAGTGCAGCAGAGCCATACTATGTTACAAGCTCACTAGATTTTGGGCAAAATCAACAGGGTTTTTTTTAACATATCAAAACCAAAATGGTTTGTTAAACAGGAGAAGTTCATTGTTGGGGTATGCATACACTTTAAGCTCGCTTTTGCCTCAAACAAAAAAATTACTGACAACATAGGTGATCCCATAAATGTCCCTGCAATGCAAAGAACATAAGATTGTGTTATGCACGTAGAATAGTTCCATGAGTCACTAACACCATGTTGGGTAATGTTTTGACAACTGTTTATACAATGCACTTGATAAGGTTCAGCCTCATATCCTGGAGATGTAGGAGAAGCTAAACATAAGAGTCCTTGCGTATTAGTTGTCAGCCTTGAACATTTTTCCCTTTAAGAGATATTAAGGATTATTTTTCTCCCCATCTCCATCTAATAGATTTTAAAGTTTGTTAGTTTTCAGTTCAGTCGCTCTTGGCGTGTATGTTGAGCACCAAAAACAAGACTCTAACCAAGCCTAACCACTAAAATAAAACCTTAATTCACACCTGAGCATTTTGTAGCTGGAATGCCTAAGCACTACAACGCTCAACAGGAGGAATCCCATTGTTTTCAATGGCCCCTGTTCATATCTGAGCGTTCTGTTGCTTGTACATGAACTTCTTTTGAGTCCCATGTTTTGGCCCAAACAGACTTCAATTGGAGCTCTAGAAAACTGCATGACAAACATGCCTAACTGGTGATTTCTTGCCTAGTAACTGGATTCCATTGACTGCAAAAACACATTCAAGCCTGAAATGCACTCAAAAACCCCCTGTACAAGTGCTCAAGAAAGAAAAAAAGACGATAAACGACCAAAGACGGTTAGCTCGTGTGAATGGATCCTAACTCTCTTCTTCCCCGCATCCAACACTTAGTCATAACTGATAATTTAAAATAGAACTACAACCTCTTATCCCTTACAGCCAAGGAAGGTGCCATCTTGGCCTCTATTTGGATTGCAATTGGCCTGGTTCTGCCCACGTGATCAGCTATGACACCTGCCATTTAAGGCCTTGAAAGTTGGGTTGAGAGCTGAAATAAGCACACTGGCAACCTTGACAGTTGGCATTCCTTGAAAGTAACTGTTTTGGGAGACCAATAGATTGGTGGGTCTGGTTTCACTTTATACATAACAGAACCCTAACACTGTCATGACAGAACTCAGTAGTGATGTCGAGGCCGGTGGGAGCAATGAGCAAGGTGGGGGATTTTCCCGACAGAGATTGACGCTCCCAAAAGTGTTGGCTTCCCAGCAAACTTCATGATGTGTGTACTCTTCAATGGAGTGTCATTTGGCAATGTGAGTGGGAGCAGAGATGAGTATTTGTGTTCTTTTTTAAAGGGAGTTAATTATGTTCAATGTTGAGATCAATAAAAGGCTCACTTTAAAGGGGAGGGAGAATAATTACACCAAGCCACTAAGAGCTCTCTGCATTAGAGAATTGAAAAATAAACTACATTAAAAACAAAAACAAGGAAGTTCACGTTTTAGATCATATAAAAACATTGTTTGAAAGACAAGTGCACTTGGTATACACTGGGAATGGAGGGCGCTGAAGTCAGAGTCGCACAACTAGCATTCCTAAAAGGAGAACACAGCAATAGCAGCCCACACATTTTTCTACAGTCTTCCCTTAAGGGAAATTGGCAATTATAAATAAAATAAATTATTTTCTATGTTCGATAACTTTTTTTTTTTGGCACCAGAGGTTCCTGCACCCACCTTTATTCTTATTACAACAAAGTAACATCCCATTGACATCGCTCCTTGCCCCGAAGGAGCCTCTAGTCTGATCTTCCTACCACCAAACAAATTGGCCATGGGAAGAAACCCAAGTAAGTACATAAAAGCTGCATAAAGTTATCAAATCAAGACTCCCCGTTTCCTAGGGGGGAAGGGGGAGGGGGTGTCGTGGCCGTTGTGCGGCTCCTTATGTTATTAGACCGGGGTGTCTAACTATGTGATTCCCTTTCCTTTTTTCTGTTCAACATAAAAGGTGCATACAGACAATCCTCTGAAACTTAAGAATCCCAAAGACACCCTCGAGGTGAAGGAGTTAAGCTCTAATTTTGTAGAAGCTGTATGAGTCCTTCCCATGCCCACCACAACAACCGGCCTTCCTGCTGTTCGGGATAAATGTTTTATTTCTGATAAAATTCACATGCTAGACTCTGCAGAAAAACATTCGACAGATGAAAGCTCGCCGCTCACCAGGAAGATTGTGTCTGCCAACTGAGCTAAATGTGTACCTAAGAGCTTAAAGCTGAACTCCGGGCTAAATACGCAGATCAGATACAAATACAGGAGGCAATTTAGCTGCCACAGGTTTTTTATTTCTGTCCACCTAGTCCTGAGATTTATACAGCCCCCTCACACAGCACAGCCAGGTAGATGATATCGCTTACAGTAAAAGAATACAGTGGTGTCCAGCGTGTGACTGGACCGTGAAAGAGAAGCGGAAGACTGATGATGTTCCTTGTCAAGACATTTGCATGCAGCAAGTCTGAATGGCTCCTAGTCCTGCCCCTCCCTCTCCGAGTCTGAGTGCTGCTTTATAGGGGATGCTAGCTGTGAATGCGGGAAGGTAGAATAACGGGGGGAATGTTAATCTACAGACTGCAGAAAGAAAGAAGTTAAAGCCGCCAATTTACCATAGCAGAGGTCCTCTTTGGAGATATACAGATGTTCCAGTTATGACTCAAACACTGTTTTGGGGCTCATTCACGCCACAGAATTGCACAGCTAAATTCACAGTATCCATGTGTTAAGCGCACGCTATACAACAGCACAGTGCACCGCACGCTAGGTGGATTGTGTTGCCATCCATGGGAGTGGAGCCCCAATGCACAACCCTCTGGTACCGCAATACTAAAAAAAAAGTAGTGCATGCATTACTTTTTTCACTGTGCTGCAATGCATGCCCGCTGGAAGGTCATTTGGCTGCCATTCAAGTTAATTAACCAAGTGTGTGGTGCAGTGCCCTGTGCAATAGCATGTGCTAAATGCACAGACCCTGTGAGGTTAGTGTAATGCTTGGTGTGAACGTGCCCTTAAAGGCCACCTTTACCTTTCTGACCATGTTTCATGTTACATTCATATTTAGGGTATAACATGAAACAAAGTCACATCACAAGCCCCCCAAC